AAGCCTCTTCACTGTCGTGTCCACAGGGTTCCAACTTCGGGGTTCACAGCTGCTGGGGTCACTGCCAGGGATTCCTCTGTTGGGGGAAAGCCCCAGAAGTCTAAATTCAGGGTTGATTCCGGAGAACTGACACGTAGCCTTCTTCAAATCCATAAGAGCTTTGTTAGGAGAACTTGCAGGGCAGGGCAGCTGCTGGCCGTGCTGGCCAGGCAGGAAAAACCCTTCCCCTCCCAGGACAGGGTTTCTTCATAGGGGGTTTGTAGTAAAGCCACAGGGTGGGTAGTCACTGAGACCACAAAAAGAAGGGTGCCCTCCTACATTAACACATAACACCACGCAGTGATCACATGTTAGACATTCGCTAACCTTCCTGGAACGAGCATGGCGTTCGACTTTGGGTGGCATTCCGGCATTCTGGGTAGCCAGCCAAGCCTGAGGTCACAGAGTTAAGAATCCAACATTTCCCAGACGCCTTTGCTGCTGGGGCCATATTGCATGGCAGTGACTTCCCGTAAACCTCGAGGGGTGCGGACCAGAGTCACCAGGCATATGGGCACTGATGTTCTGGACCAGACTGGATGCTTAGCGATGCCAGTGCCCAGCTCTTGCTCTGAGTAGGAGTGTGGGATCGCCGGTGCCTGGACCTGGGCAGGTCTCTGTGCCACAGCATCTGCATGACTTCTTGCAGGAAAAGCCCAAGGCTGGTGTCCACGGGAGCCCTGGCTGCAGTCAGAAATGCCAGTCCCTCTGAGGACTCCTCTCTAACCTCCACCCATTTCTTGGCCCCCAGGCAAGCAAACGGGGAGAGGCTGATGTCAAATGAAAAAATGATTTAAAAAATAAAAATAAAGATCTAACATAACCTACCTTCCTAACAGGAGATTTCACCTTATCAGTCTCCTCCAGACCTCGGAATATTTTTTTCTGCCAGCTCGGAGCAAACAAGCAGCATCTAATGAAATACGAGGCCGGTGTTCAAAATATTAGTCATGTTTTCACATTCCCCTCACCCACCCCACACCAATCACCGGTGTCCACTCTGCTAACCCCTTTTCAAATGCTTTGTAATGTAGAGAATGTTCTTCACATTATGGTCCCAGTGCTGGACCCTAATTCTTAACAGATCTTTCCGAAGTCATTTTTAAAACTCTTTTTTATGCTTCCACTCATCTCTCATCTCATCACTTCTCCCCAACAATGGCTGCTTAGCTTCCACAATTGTGCTGAGTATGGGTGCCTTTGTCTGAAGAAAGACCGCTGCCAGTGAACTTCCTCAGAATCTTGAGGGAGTAAGGAAAGTCCCCAAAGAACCCTAATGTACCCAATGGGGTTTTCTTTGCCTCTCATGGCTCAGAACGCCCATGCACGCCCCTCAGTAGAAGGAGCAGAATTAGGGGAGAGCTGTCTTAGTACAGTGCTTGCAGCAGGTGACTGTGGCCTAGACTTCGCCAACTGGCCTCTGTGGGCACACTCCGATTTCTGACATAGACTACAGTCTTCTATCTACTGACCATGAGCACTGACGGACTGATGATTGCATCTTTAGAAGTCTGGCTCACGGAAGCATAACTTAGACAGTAAAATGCACAACCACCCTGTTCGACATAGAGCATTTCAACCCGAGGCCTCCCAAAGAGGACTCCGTGGGGACAGGGTGAGAAGGACATGCTCTGCAACACCTTCCCGTAAACACAACAAACAACTCCGTGTGGCTTACGGCGTAGGCAGAGCGCGCCACTGCAGGTAAACTGGATCGTTTCAGTCGCTGCTTAAAATCTTCAAATGGCTCGTGATGCTCTGGCTTAGCAGGGCTTGCCTAGAGAGTATGAGCAGTGTTCCACAGGGTCGTGAATTTGGATGGCAATCGTTAAGAATTTATTTCTACCAACTTTTTGCTGAAACAGAATCTCTTTTAGATAGATACAAAGCCCACAAACCATAACCTACACCATGTGTTCATCACAGTTGTTACATTTATCTTAAAATATTGCTTATGCTAACCACGGTTTTGAAGTTGCATTAATCAGACCTATTGCTAGATCTTACGTAGTACCAATAATACAATATAAAAGGCTACTGTGCAAAGTGTCCCCTCAGGAGTCTGACTGGGAGACTGGGAGTTTGATTGTTCATTATGATGTGCGCTGACCTCTGTGGGGCGGTGCAGAATGGAGGAAGGCCCCGGACGGCAGCCAGAAGGTCCCCATCAGCCCTGATTGCTTGGCCAGGCCCAGGGTCCTTACCCATGCATGAATTTTGTGCACCGGGCCTCTAGAATTACTATATTACATGATTGGTGTTACTAATTTGATACCCTTATTTCAGTGTTTTGGTTTCCTTTTGAATCTTATATGTTTTATTCGACTAAAAACATTATTCCTTGAAGGAATACATAGGTTTCATTAGCCTGCTAGAAGGGTTCCTGGCACGAAAAACAATTAAGGTTCCCAGTTCTGGAACATAATTCTGGAACATATTTCTTAAAGATCTTTCCAAAGTCATTTTTTAGTCTCTTTTTATGCTTCAACTCATCTCTCATTTCATCTCTCATGACTTCTCCCCAACAATGGCTTCTCAGCCTCCAAATCAGGCACAGGAGACTACTTTCAGTTTCTCTGGAGGTCATGCTTCTCTCACCTCCCTCTGCTCTATCCTCTCCAGTCTCCAGCCCCATCTCATCTACTGGATTAGGCTTGTCATCCTTTAGGCTCTGAAAGGCCTTCCTTTCAAACACACACACACACACACACACACACACACACACAGCTCAGGTCATGTCATGCCTGCTTCACATCCTCTAGCTCCCGGCTCAGTTTCTATTACCTTTGTTGTAAATGTATATCATCTGCCTTCTTCCTTAGACTCTCTGCAAGCTCTGTGTCCATGAACCAAGAAGGCTTTGTTCATAGGTATTCCCCTAGACCTGTGGTCGGCAAACTGCGGCTCAAGAGCCACAGGTGGCTCTTTGGACCCTTGAGTGTGGCTCTTCCACACCAAGGCCTGGGCAAGTCTATTTTGAAGAAGTGGCGTTAGAAGAAGTTTAAGTTTTAAAAAACTGGCTCTCAAAAGAAATTTCAATCGTTGTCCTGTTGATATCTGGCTCTGTTGACTAATGAGATTGCCGACCACTGCCCTAGACACTAGTACAGTCTGCTCTCCAACAATGATTTGGCCCTCTCCTGGGGAAGTGTGGGGCCTGGCTCTCACTCCAGGCTGGAGGCTGGGTCCAGTGTGGTGGGTCCCCATCACCCTGGAGGTCCTCTGTTGGCCCGTAGGCCACTCTAAGGAGGCAGAGCCCTTTAAGAGTGGGTGCGCAGCGCCCCAAGACATGAGGTACCTATCTCCTGGAACCACTGGAGAGCCACGCAGGCTGCAGGCAGAGTCCACACTGCCCTCCTGGCCTGCCACGCGCTCCCAGTCCAGGCCCAGTGGTTGTCATCCTCCTCTCGGCCTAATCCCATGAGACCTGAGACTCAGTGGAGAGGGAAGCACTCTGTGGGTCCAGCGAAAGGACAGCCTGAGACAGCCATTCCAGCCCCCTTCATCTCTGGTTCAGGTCAGTGGCCCCCGCTGGAAGGGGCAGAGTTCGCAGGACGGGGAGACCTGAGCTAGAGGGTGCAGATGGAGAAGCGAGGTTAGGCCGGGGAGGGGAGAGGGTTACCCAAAGGAGGAACAGACGGTGCAAGGGAGCTTCCCAGCCCTTGAAGCACCTGGACAAGGTCCCCCTCCCTCTGGGGTTCAGGGAGCCTCCCCTCTCGCCTTCCTGCTGTGCAAGGACCGCGCCTCTCCAGTGCGGCCCCGGCAGGGAGCGCGGGGTGCGCGCGTGTCCCCCTGGGGGAGGGGAGGGGTCCACCGGAAAGCCCCGGCCCGCGCCCACGCCTGCGCACTACGCCCGGGTCGCTTTCGCTTTTCGTTTCCCCTCAAGTCCGTGCCTTCTCCGCCACCGAGCGTTTCCCCGAAAGCACGTGGGCGGCTCTTCCCCGCCGCGCGCCCCTCCCGCCGCGCAGGCCTGTTGTCATGGGATCCCCGTCCCCAGCCCCGCCTCCCAGCCTAGGGCACCTCCCTCCCGGGCGGCGCTCCGGAAGCACGGACTTCACAGGGGGTTGGGCTGCAAGTGTCGTGGTGAAAGTGATTAAAAAAAAAAAAGATTAAAAGTGACCAGCCGCTCAGAGCAACAGCACCCCCTCTCCCGTGGCCCTCTTCCTGTCTTGTATTTACATTGCTATGTATTCTTGCAGCACGGGGATGGTACTATGTTCTCTATACTGCATTTTTTTTAAAGTATATTTTATTGATTTCTTTTACAGAGGGCAAGAGAGAGAGAGAAACATCGATGAGAGAGGATCATCGATCAGCTGCCTCCTGCACACCCTCTACTAGGGATGTGCCCACAACCAAGGTACATGCCCTTGACCGGAATAGAACCTGGGACCTTTCAGTCCGCAGGCCCACGCTCTATCCACTGAGCTAAACTGGTTTCGGCTTTACCGCATTTAAATATATATATATATATATATATATATATATATATATATATATATATATATATATATATATATATATATATGTATGTGTGTATATATATATATTTTTTTTTTATTTTTTATTTTTATTTTTTTTTATTGATTTCAGAGAGGGAGAGAGAATCACGGATGGGTCGCCCCTGCACGCCCCCCACGGGCTTCAGCTGCCAAGCCGAGTTCCAGAATGGCGGCCCTCAGCCGCAGGCGCTCAGATGCGGGGCGTCCCGCGGACACGGCCGAGTCTGGGCCCCCGCAAGCAACTTCCTTCTTACTGGCTCCCTACAAGGCAAAAACGCAAAGGTCCCGCAGCCCAGCGGCCAGACAGAGCAGTGTCACTCACGCGCGGTCCCCGCCCCAAGGACCCAGCGGATTGGCCCATCGGCGGGCCGCGGGGGGGGAGGCAGCGCGCTGGCGGAACAGCCGCGTCCGATTGGCCGAGCGCGGTGCCCTGATTGGTGGAGGCGGAGGAGGCGGGGCGCTCGGCACTGCCTTTTTTCCTCGCCGGCACTTTCGGTTTCCGGCGCCGAGTCCGCAGGGAGGTCCCACACCGCAGGCCCGGTGACACCTGTGAGACCCCAGGCCCAGCAGAGGCGGCCCGGGGCGCCTTCGTCCGTCCCCGCTCACCCGGCGCGCAGAGTGAGTGAGCCTGGGGTTCCGGGTGCGAGGCTGGGGTGTGTCCGGATCGGCGGCGGGGCGGGGCGGGCAGAGCAGCGGGGCACCGGGCCCGGACGGGACAGGTGTGTGGGCCCCCTGCCCCCAGGGCCCGGTCCGGAGTGTCCCTGGTGCGGTTCTCGGGGCCGGCACGGTCGCCCGGCCCGCCTTGTTCGGGCAGTAAAATGGCATGGGAAAGGCCATCACGCCCTCCATGCCGCCCTCCCAGCCCCCTCCCTCCGCATCCGCGGGACCCAGGGTCGGCAGGAGGCTTTGATGGGCTTGTTCCACCCCCGGAGAGCTTTCTGCGCTAGGAGCTCTCATCCTGTGCACGAAGACCCGGTATTCTGCCCCTGCAGTGCTGTGTGCTGCTCAGATCCAGTCCCCAGCCCCTCGCGGGGCATGAGGTGATGGAGGAGTCCGTAACTGTCCGTGGCAACGAAGGGACGGTGGCATGACTGTGGAACCTAACTGTGTCTCCCTGTTCAAAGCTGGAGGAGCTTACTGTCTTCCTAGAACATGAAAGCGATCGTTTCCTTCCTGCAAACCCCTCCCCACCCTCCCACCCCCCTGTCACACAGTGCATCCTCCCTAAACTTCGGCGGGTACCGAAGAGCTGGGGGTAGAGGCGCTGGTGTGTGGCTGACTGTGCTTTGCGTGTTGTGTTGGTTGGAGAGGTTTTTGCTTTTAGATGATGGAAATCAGACCTGAGCCTCCCCATGAACCAGGGTGCAACCCCTGCTTAATGAGGGTGCGGGACCCAGACGGGTTGGGCAGTGATATGGTTCGCCCTTTACTTCCTATGGCTCTGACATACACCAGATCATCAATTCCACAGGTGGGTACTGAGTCCAAGACACTGTCCAAGGAGCAGAGGACTTTTTAAAATATATATATTTTATTGATTTTTTTACAGAGAGGAAGGGAGAGAGATAGAAAGCTAGAAACATCGATCAGCTGCCTTCTGCACACCCCCCCACCGGGGATGCGCCCGCAACCAAGGTACATGCCCTTGACCGGAATCGAATTCGCGACCCTTCAGTCCACAGGCCAACTCTCTATCCACTGAGCCAAACCGGTCAGGGCTGAGCAGAGGACTTTTTTTTTTTTTTTTTTTTTAATTGGGTCCCTGCAACGTGGATCTGATGTCACGCTGGGGACTCATCACAGAGCTCTCTAGGGAAGGCAGGGGCCGGCGCTCCAACAGAGGTACCGGATGCCTCTGGGTTCACGTCAGAGAAAGCTCCGCTGTCTCTGAGTCAGGCCCAGGCAGCTCTACGGAGAAGGGGCGTCCGCACCTCCTTGGAACGCCGGTGGGGTGCGGAGAGGCAGACATCTGTGGGGGGACGGTGTTTAAGGGCAGAGCGGGGCGCCTGGGCTGCTTTGCTCATCGCTGAAGGGAGGGCCTGGGAGGAAGTCAGCCTAAGCATGGGCAGGCTGGCAGTTTTGAACCAACAAGGGATGGGGTCCGACCTGAGGGTGGCAGAGGCCGGATTGGGAAGTCGTGTCGGAGGCGGGGACGTAGGAGCGCTTGGGACTGGAGCCAGGTACCTGGAGGATGATCGTGCCGCTCCCTGTGTTGGTAACACACTTGGTAGGAAGGTAAGATGGGTTCTGGCTTTGTTGGTGTGAATGGATTGATTGCCTGCGCGGTGCCAGGCAGTGCCTCTGACCTAATTCTTCGGCTCCTAACCACCAACCAGTGGACAGCCAGTGAGTGGCCTGGGGGCACTTGCCTGGCCAGAGCCGCCGCAGCCTCTGCCCATCCTTTAGGCACATCCTTCTGACACACAGCTCAGGGAAGGAGGGACCACAGAGCTGGTCCTTCCGCTCAGGCACAAGACGTGAGAAGTGAGCATCGAGCAGCCAGAGAAAGAGTGCCGAAAGGGCAGCTGTGCCAGTGATAGCTCTGCCTCCCCACCGTGTCTTTATCCTCCTTTGGAAGGACAATTGTGGGTAGATATGGCTTTGTGCTGCACACGAGTGCTTGCCAGCAAGCCCGTCCCTGCTTGCACAGCCAGGCCCCTCCTCCGAGGGCCGGCGGGACAGCACCCCCTTCCGTCCACTTGGAAAGGCGTCGGTGCAAACCCTGAACTGGGTGGCATTGGGAGGCTCCTCACCTCCTGCTGGACGCCAGGGCTCCCCCCTTCAGTCAGGTTTTGTCTTAATTGTTCATCTTTAAAATTGCTGTGTAAAAACTGACTTACAGCCAAAACCGGTTTGGCTCAGTGGATAGAGCGTCAGCCTGGGGACTGAAAGGTCCCAGGTTCGATTCCGATGAAGGGCATGTACGGTACCTTGGTTGCGGGCACATCCCCATTGGGGGGTGTGCAAGAGGCAGCTGATCGATGATCCTCTCTCATCGATGTTTCTATCTATACCTCTCCCTTCCTTTCTGTAAAAAATCAATAAAATATATATATATTTTAAAAACACCTGACTTACAGTTATGCAAAGAGATAGTATTACTTTATCCTTCCCAATTATCCTATATTTGATGATGTTGTTTTGATCTTTAAGTTATTACTGAGATTTAAGACATTTTGTGCCAGACTTACTGTTTGCAGTTGGCAAAGAAGAAAACATGTCTCTTTTAAAAGCTATATAACAAAAATAATTCATTTTAACCTATGAGCCATAAAATGTGAAATACCAGTTTAAAATTCTTTGAGTTAAATTACAGATGGACTGTAATTTTTAACAGAGCAATTTTGGGAGAGTTCTTAGGATTTGTCCTTAGGTAAATCTAGGTGTTGTTTTGCATTTATTTGTTTGATAAAAGTACAGATTTATTTAAAGGGCATATTTATTGAACACCTACTGTGTGTCCAGCACTGCCCTGGAACCAGTGAACAAAACCTCCCGAAAACCTTTTCTTCGTGTGAGGAAAACAAAAGTAATCAAACTATGTAAGAAAATATGTGGCCCAGCTGGTGTGACTCAGGTTGGATTCCTGGCAAGGGTATATGCCTGACTTCATCTCGATCCCCAGTAGGGGGCGTGCAAGAGGCAGCCGAGCCATGATTCTCTCTCATCACTGGTGTTTCTATCTCTCTCTCCCTCTCCCTTCCTCTCTCTCTAAAATCAATTTTAAAAATCTTAAAAAAAAAAAAAAAAAAAAAAAAAAAAAAAAAAAGGATAAGAAAATACGTGGTATGTTAGATGGTGGTAAGTGCTATGGAGAAAAATGCATCAGTAAGTGGTATAGTATTTTCCAGGGTGAGAGGTGGTGTCCCTTTAAATAAGGTGGCCAGAAAGGGCTTTCCCGAGAAGTTTAAGCAAAGGCTTTACAATGTGTTTCCTGGAAAAGAAGAAAAACAACAACAACAACAAAAAAAAACATTGACTCAAAAAATCAATTTAAAAAACAGAATGTAGCCCTAGCTGGTGTGGCTCGGTGGATGGAGCGTCGGCCTGTGGATTTAAGGGTCCCAGGTTCAATTCCTGGTCAGGGCACATGCTTGGGTGCTGGGCTCAATCCCCAGTTTTAGACGTGCAGGAGGCAGCCAATCAATGATTCTCTCTTATCATTGATGTTTCTATTTCTCTCTCTTCCTCTCCCTTTCTCTCTGAAATCAATACTTTTTTTTTTTAAAGAAGTTGCTTTAAAAAAAAAAAAACCAGTGTGGAATCTGGGAGGGAAGGCAGGGGAGGGTGGGTGGGAGGTAATCAACCAAAGACCTTGCGGGTGGGAGATCGTGGGCCAGAGAGGGATAAAGCGAGACCATGTAATACTTTCAGCAATAAAGATTAAAAAGTAACAGCAACAAAACAGTCTTCAGCATACAGACACTATTGAAGCAGTATATAGTTCAGAGGCAAATTATGTATTGGATCCAGCAAAGCATCTGCAGGAAGCGCCATGCTAAGCGTGCGTCCCCAGAGTCTGGCTTCCACTCGTGACATCTGCTTTCCTCCAGGATGTCCCAGTGGTACGAGCTGCAGCAGCTGGACGCCAAGTTCCTGGAGCAGGTGCACCAGCTCTACGATGACAGCTTCCCCATGGAGATCCGCCAGTACCTGGCCCAGTGGCTGGAAAAGCAGGACTGGTGAGGAGGGCTAGAGAGGGGCGGCGTCTGTTCAGGGAACTGGCTGATTCAGTGACATGGAAGATGAACCTCATCGGAGCCGCTGGGGTTGTCGGTTCCAGAAGAGTGTGGATTTGAAAAGTGACACATGTCTCTACACAGCTACACGCATTAGTCATTAAGCACCTCACGCAGTCTTGTCAGTTTAATGATGACACACTAGAGCACATGTGTCAAACACAAGGCCCGCGGGCCAAATCCTTGATAGCATGTGAGTTGGTTAACAGCACTGTTAAGGAAAAGATTGTTCCACTCATTTCAAATTCACATTTCTGGTTAACATTGTCAGTTTATGACTGTTCAGTAAACTATTCGGCCCGCGATTTAGGCTGGATTTTAGATTTTGGCCCCTTCTCTGATTGAGTTCGACACCCCTACACTAGAGGCTCGATGCACAAAATGCATGCAAGGGCCTTGGCCCTGGCCCCCACCCACCCCGCCCGCTGCGGCTTTCTCCAGAAGGAAGGATGTCCTCTGGTCCAATTAGCCTATTACACTTTTATTATTATAGATGCTCCTAAATGCTTTGGATATGTTAGGTAATGCGACACCAGTTACTGCCCAAGTTAGGATATAGGCCATGGAAAGAAGTTAAAAGAAACCATTAAAGCTGAGGTATGGTACAGTATTGCTTAGAGATGTGAAGAGGTGATAGTATTCAGGCCATATCACTCAAAAGTGACCCATGTTCTATTTTAAAAGTTCTTTTTGCTGACCATGGGTGCTTTCGATGTTCGGAGAGTATTCGACATAGAAAAAATGAGGTCCCCTGCTGACCTCTCCCCTCAGAGTTGGTCGCCATGAGCAGAGTTGTGCACAGCCTGGGAGTTGTAGAGTTTCTCGGGCTAGCTATGTATAACAAATATTGTGCCGACTCCGCTGAAAGCAGCATCCGTGTCTCAGGAAAGCGATAAAATGAGGGAGCACTCACTGCTGTCAGCGGCTTCACACGGAGGCAGCGATGATCTTTGTGTTTAGAACGGCCCCTTGGTGAGCGTGTGGATTTTCCCTGTAGGGAGCACGCTGCCAATGACGTTTCGTTCGCCACCATCCGTTTCCACGACCTGCTGTCGCAGCTGGACGATCAGTACAGCCGCTTTTCCCTGGAGAACAACTTCCTGCTGCAGCACAACATCAGGAAGAGCAAGCGCAACCTGCAGGTACACTGTGTGTGTGTGTGTGTGTGTGTGTGGGAATGGCCCGTGTTCACAGAGTTTTCCATTCGCCATTCACTGAGCACATGCTTTGGCATCCAGAAAAGTTAGAGGCTGTCAGCCCAGTCCCTTCCTGTGGCGAAGACTTCAGAGCACAAGTAAATACTGCCAGCTCGTTTGGTAAGCACATGGGATGTTTAGGTTTCAGCGTATCCCTCGTTAGGCAAGAAAATGTGATTCTGAGAAAATGTGACGCGACAGACTTGTTTGACTAAAGGTTGAAGCTATTTAAACCAGAGGAGGAAGATTCCGTTTTAAGAGCAGTGAGCTAGAGCGCCACGGCAAAGCCCAGAGGGGCGTCCGTGCCGAGTCCGGTCAGTCCTCGTCTGCGATGAAGAGGGAGCCCAGCACACAGTGGGGCCTCCTGGGGTCCGAGGGGTGGCGGGGCGCTAGGGCGAGGCCCTCCCGGCCTTGCTTCTTGTGGGGCTGCCCTGCGAGGGAGGGTCTGGGGGCTCTGGGCCGGAGAGAACGTGCTACGGAGTTTTGGGTTTACCCCAGAAGCACTCCCTTGTCCTTAAGTCTGGCTCCCACAGTAGGACACTCCTGTTCTAATGGAGGCGAGCACTGTTGTTTTCCTGTTTCATAAAAACACAGCCAACTGCTATCCTGAGGTTGTGAGCACCTTGTTTTTCCTGGTCTAGGGTTTTATAATGCCAGGAAAGTCCGGTTAACTGCATAAACATTGGTTCTCCTATCGACTTGGCTGGCATACACCTGTTATAAAAAGCCACGATGCTGTTTAAAAAATAAAAAGCCACGATTGCCAGTATTTTACAACTACTTTTGGCAAGGAAGCAGAAAAATTGAGGAGACGTCTCTGGTCTAACGGAAGCAGAGACCAGTGGGAACGTCATGGGTCATTGCTGCATCATTTGCAGTGTCTCAGGACCCTCACTAAGGATCATTCCTATAAAAGAGAAGTAGTAATTAAAGAAAAAGTATGATAGGAACCATGTATAAAAATATTTGGTTTTTAAATCAGGAAGTAATTGAGGTACCTGCACTTAATTGGAAAGTTAGAGCAGTTTTTGTCAGAATTTGTGAAAAGAATATTCTGATTTTACCAAATATTAACTTCTGTAGAATTTAATAAATGTGAGATGAGATTTCTCAGTGAATATGAATGAGTTCATCTCAATTTACAATGCACAGCGACTTAAACATTCTGATACGTAATTTACTTTTGTCCTGACCACCCATACATAGGATAATTTTCAGGAAGACCCAATTCTGATGTCAATGATCATCTATAACTGTCTGAAGGAGGAAAGAAAAATTCTGGAAAATGCACAGAGATTCAATCAGGTACTTCTTCTTCTAATTGAACACTGATGATAATAATAAAATAAATGCATTTATTTTTCCAACAAATGTTACTGAGGTGGTGGTGAGCAGGCCCCTGATGTTGTAGCCCCAGGAAGTGGGAAATCAGAAGTAGGGGTGTTACGGACCAAGCTCGTAAAAGTGACAACTAATAGACACAGTTCTTCCAGATAGGAAGGATCGCCATGGAGATAACTGGTCAGGGTGCTGTGTTGACAGTGATGGGGTGGCTGGGGACTGGCTGTGTAGATCAGGGTCGGACACTGTTCTGGGGTGCAGGGTCAGTAAGGATGCAGGCAGGTCCTGAATGGGTTCTTGCTGCAGCCCGGGGGGGTGGGGGTGGGGGGGTGGGAGGGGTAGGAGAAGGGGGGTGAGCAAGTGGGCAGACTCGGGTTCAATGTGGGGCTTGTCGTGAAGGCTCAGACGGAGTGAGACAGTGAAAGGTCGGGGTGACTAGTCTGTAACTGTCACTGGGAGTGCCTGTGTGCTGAGCCGGGAGGACGAGGGAGGGAGGGAGGGGAAGGGCTTTGACGGCACAGGAGGTTTGCGGAGGAGAACTGGTTGATGGGACAAGCAAGAGCTTTGGGTTTTGTTTTGGTTTTAATTTATTGATTTGAGAGAGAGAGAAAGATCGGGGAAGGGAGAGGGGAAGAGAAAAAAACATCGATAGGTTGTTCCACTTATTTATACATTCATTGGTTGATTCTTATATGTGCCTTGACCTGAATCAAACCCCAAACCTTGGAGTATCAGGACAATGCTCTAACCAACCGAACTGCACGCCAGAAAGAGCTTTGTTTTTCGTTTTGTAATATATTTGTATTGATTTCATAGAGGAAGGGAGAGGGAGAGAGAGAGAGAAACACAGTGATGGGAGAGAATCATCGATCAGCTGCCTCTTGCACACCCCCTACTGGGGATGTGCCTGCAACCAAGGTACATGCCCTTGACCGGAATCAAACCTGGGACCTTTCAGTCCGCAGGCCGACGCTCTATCCACTGAGCCAAACCGGTTTCGGCTATTTTTTTTAAATGTAATATTTGTTATTGATTTCAGAGAGAGAGGGAAAGAAAAGATAGAAACATCAATGATGATATGATGATAGAGAATCATGGATCGGCTGCCTCCTGCACACTACCTATTGGGGAACAAACCTGCAACCTGGGCATGTGCCTTTGACCAGAATCAAACCCAGGAGCCTTCCACTTGCAGGCTGATGCTCTGTCCATTGAGCCACACCAGCGAGGGCAAGCATTTAAAGCTACATATCATCCGTTTTAAGCTCAAGCTGACTAGTCTGACAGGTGAACCGAAGGCGTGTTCCCGAAAGCCTTAGCAGCAGCGCCATCATGCCTCTGCGTTACCTGGTGAGGTCACCAGGGGGGTCTGAGTCAAAATCAGACCCCGCCACCCTGCCTCCCAGCAAGCTGAGGTGCAAGAGGCGCCAGTCTGGGACCGCACGGGGACTCCAAGGCTTTAAGACAGACAAGGACAGGGTTCTTTTTTTATTAAATGGATTGGGGTGACATTGGCCCACGGGAACATACAGGTTTTGGGTGGGGGCTTTATGTAATGGGACCTGTATACTGCACCGCGTGTCCACCACCCAGAGTCCAGTGTCCTATTACCTTATATTCCATCCCACCCCCTTCCCTCTGGCACCCACCACCCGTTGTTTGCGTTCACCCCTATGAGTGAAATCATAGGAGTCTGGGGTTAATAAGAAGAAACTTGTCTGCAGACCCTGAGAAACCTGAAGCAAATCCCTGTGTGGCGCCTGCAGCCGCATGGATCAGTGGGACATCTGTTTCAGCACGAACTGGGCCTGGTCCTTCCGTGGCAGTCACAGTTCGCCAGCATCTTCTCCAGGGCCCTGGGAACGGAACTGTTCCCTGCAGGCACCCCTGTGGGAAGGTGTCGGAGGGCGTGGGGGCACAGGGCATAGACTTGACCTTGGAGTGGGACCAGCAGGTAAGTCCCAGAGGAAAGGGTGACAGTCGGTCATGCGCCCCGTTACAGGCGCAGGCGGGAAGCGTTCCGGGCACGGTGATGCTCGACAAGCAGAAGGAGCTGGATGCCCGCGTCAAGGATGTGAAGGAAAAGGTGAATGTGAGTATCGAGTGCCCGCGGCTTTCTGGGGAGGGAAAGCTTTCAGTGTAACCATAGCAACACATCTCAGTCCTTTAAACAGTGGAGGAGAAACGTTTAGCTGAGGCCCAAACCTAAGGTGACCAGATTTTAACATTGGTAAAGCAGGACACCATTGACGGGGGTGTGTGTGTGTGTGTGTGTTTTCTTGATTAAAAATTTGGTTTATATTATATTATAAATTATTATATACATATTGTTTAAAAACACAGTAAGTAGTTACATAATTACATGAATATATTTTATTGTTAGTTTATAAATTAATTTGATTGTTATAAAGTAACTATATTTTTTAAATTATTTTAATTTTAATCCTATATTTCTTTCTAAATAATAACAATACTAACTTGTATTATTTTTCCTCTGAATTTGCCGTAATGTAAGTCGTGTCACTTTCAAGGCTGGTGCTAGACTTTTTGCCGCCACTGTAAAATATAAATAATTTAGTACTGTCTGCTAAATTCAAGAAAATTTATGTATTTATGAAGTAAATAAATAAGTTACTTACCCAATTATATGAATAGCTGATTTGTAATGACATCACTTGTGTAACTAGCTTACTAGCACACAGTTTGACGTGTATCATCTGAGAGACTGTTACAAAACGTTTCATCGTTGCCAATTCCAAAAAATGCCATTGTTCATTAAGTCCAAACAATGGTGGTCGAATTCTAACAACTGATCAACAATGCGAACTTTGATAAGCAGTTCTCGATAATCAGTTCTCAACAATTATTTGTTATTATTAAAGTTTAACATTATAAAATTAACAAAAATAATATAAAACTCATATCCTGGTTAAATAGCCACATGGGCGCCGAAAACTGTATATTCCCTTCCCGTTCTCCCACCATCTGAGGTACTCTGAGGGCTGTTTGGGGAAGAGTAAGCACGCTCTAACCAGACCTGTGTCGATGGAAAGGCCAGCTGATGGGGCCGGGCCTCCCGTGGGTCTCTGGGTCACACAGGCATGGGGTGCATCAGATGGCATCGTCCTAGCCTCCTGGGGAGCCCATCACTGCAGTAAGGATCAGGGCCCCGTCCCGACATAGTTTCTTTCCTTTTTTGAAAGAAATATACTTTTATTGATTCAGAGAGGAAAGGAGAGGGAGAGAAAAATAGAACCATCTATGATGAGAGAGAATCATAGATCGGCTGCCTCTTGCAGGCCCTACACTGGGGATCGAGCCCGCAACCCAGGCCTGTGCCCTGACCAGGAATCGAACCGTGACCTCCTGGTTCACGGGTCGATGCTCAGCTACTGAGCCACACTGGCTGGTTGTGTAGTGTCTTTTGTAAATGAAGTTACTATATGTTTATTAATGAAACGGCCACTATTTCATGTGTCTGACTCGGATTTTGCAAGTCTCGTTCGTCTGAGGGAGCGGGGTTATTGTCAGTTTTCTGGGTCTTCTGGAAGCAGTGATCTGTTTCGTAAAGTTTTGGAAGCTGATCAGTAACCACCCTGTTTATGTCTCTATTTATAGTGGATAGAGCATGAAATCAAGACGCTGGAAGACTTACAAGATGAATATGACTTTAAATGCAAAACCTCGCAGAACAGAGGTAAGCTCACATGCAGTACGGTGCTTGTTGGTCGTGAGTTTTTCCGCCTGCGTGAGCCAACAGAGACCAATCCTCCTTCCCAAGTGCCGATATTTCCACGTGGAATTGCCCGTCTGGCTGAGTGATGGTATACCTATGTAATTCAGCCTTCAGTGCTGGGATGCTGGGGGTCAGATAATGTGTTGTGCAGGTGTCTTGTGCATGTCCGGCTCGTACCCCTAGGGGGCAGCAGCACTATCCCCAGGCCCCTGTGGCGCCCTTGGTGGCAGGGGATGTGCTACTTGACTTGTTGTGTCTAGCCCGCTGGCTGACAGAGACGGTTAGGAATGTGGGGTGAGTTCCCAGGCCCAGTGCCTAAGCTCTCCCACGTTCCAGCTCCACGTGTGTGTGCTCTTTGGATAACGGTCAGCATTCTTCTCGTGTCTTCAAGCAGTAGCTCTATGTTGTTGTGTTTTTGTTTTAATTTTTATTTTATTTATTTATTTATTTATTTATTTATTTTTATTATTGACCTCAGAAAGGAAGAGAGAGATAGAAGCATCAATGATGAGAGAGAATCATGGATCAGCTACCTCCTGCATGTTCCCTACTGGGAATTGAGCCCACAACCTGGGCATGTGCCCTGACCGGGAACTGAACTGTGACCTCCTGATTCATAGGACAACGCTCAACCACTGAGACATGCCGGCCGGGCTTGTTGTTGTGTTTAATGATGACAGCAACTGAAAAAAATCCCACAAGTGTGCACTGCGTAGAACATGTGGGGTACTGCTGTGACCCCAGCAGTCAATTGGAGGACAGCATGGTTAATATTAGAGCAAAAGGGGGATAAATGGTGACGGAAGGAGACCTAACTTGAGGGGGTAAGCACGCAATATACAGATAGTGTGTTGTAGAATTGTATACCTATGTATTAATAATTCTATTAACCAGGATCACCCCAATAAATTCAATAAGAAATAGTGAAGAGATCATGCGTATGACCTGGGTAAAAACTCTGAGAGAAGGAACCTCAGCTACTCTCACTTCCTAATCGTCTACTTCTCTCAGAGCCACTGCAGGTTTGGAGTTTGCCACGCAGGTTCCTTGAGGTCAGACTGTGACAGTGACTGCAGAACCAGGCAGTGCTGTTGCCACCCGGCAGGGTCATTAGAGACAAGGGTTTTGTTTCGTGCGACCAATTCTTACACGTGGGACGTTTTCCTCCTTCTATTCAAGGAAGACTGGAGAAGACCGACTTTGACCTCTAGCCACATAGTGCTGGGCCACGGCTCTGCCACGGGCCTGGGGGCATGGTCTTCGCTCATCCTTTCTCTCTTCCCTTTTACATCTGCCTGTGTCTCTGCCCATCACAGAGCACGAAGCCAATGGCGTGGCCAAGAGCGATCAGAAACAAGAGCAGATGTTACTGCAGAAGATGTTCTTGATGCTGGACAACAAGAGAAAGGTAGGGACTCCCCTTCCGGGAGACGTGCAGCGTTCGTCAGGGACTGTGAGGGGCGCACTGGAGGTCAGGGCGGAGGAGAGATGGTTTTTATAACCCCTTGACATAGATGAAAGGCTGGTGGCTTTGCTTTAAGAAAATTGCTTAAAACTCGGCGATTAAAGGTACGTTTACTTTGCTTTGTCTGCCCTCTCCCCGCAGGAAGTCATTCACAAAATCATCGAGGTGCTCAATGCCACCGAGCTGACCCAGAAGGCCCTGATCAACGACGAGCTGGTGGAGTGGAAGCGGAGGCAGCAGAGCGCCTGCATTGGGGGCCCCCCCAACGCCTGCCTCGATCAGCTGCAGAGCTGGTGAGCGTGGCCGTGGCCCCGCCCGCCCTGGCGGCCAGCCCCGCTCCGCCGGGCCAGGGCACTCCTCTCCCTGCTGCCCCGGGGCTAAGGGACATGTCATTGGTGCCAGAACACCAGGGACATGGTTGTCACATAACACCTTTAACAACTCGGGTCCTGATGTTTTATAAAAACAAACTATTGAGGCATTTTCTAGGGTGGCATAACAGTTTGTGTGGTCATCCACCCATGAGTACGTCCTGAAGCTGTGTGCGTCTCTGGCCAGGCCTGGGGCGCAGGGGGAGGGCGGCTGGTCCTGGCCGGGAAGGAGCCCTGGGCGTGCAGGCAGGAGGTGGTGTGGGTGATTCTGGCAATGCAGTGCTGCCAGAGCTAACCGGTCCCATGGGGGATGAGGGGAGGGGTTGCCTCAGAGGTTTCCAGAAGTTGGATGTGCACTTGAGAATGCATAGGAGGGCTTCATGGCGACCAGAGAGAGCAGCACGTGTTAGTGTTTTCTCCCCAAATACCACTGAGAGGAGCCTCGTCCCCCCATCACCCCCTGCGGTGCGTGTGCACCCATGTAGATAGCGGTGTGCTACCCGTGAGAACCCCTTGCTGGTGTCCGCGGGCCCTCAGGCCCGGTCGCTGCGGGCCGTTTCTGACTGAGCCCTGCCCCGTGCTGCCCAGGTTCACTGTCGTCGCCGAGAGTCTGCAGCAGGTCCGCCAGCAGCTTAAAAAGCTCGAGGAGCTGGAGCAGAAGTACACCTACGACCACGACCCCATCACCAAGAACAAGCAGGCCCTGTCGGACCGCACCTTCAGCCTCTTCCAGCAGCTCATCCAGAGGTAAGGGGAGGCCGTCGCACCTCTGCAGGTCTGTTGCTCCGAGGAAATCTGTGTGGTCATCCAGTAAGGAAGGAGCGTCTAATGGGCCCTGGCCGGTGTGGCACAGTGGACAGAGCATCAGCCTGCGGACTGAAGGGTCCTGGGTTTGGTTCTGGTCAAGGGCACATGCCCAGATTGCGGGCCTGATCCCCAGGAGGGGGCGTGAGGAGGGAGCTGAACAGTGATTCTTTCTCATCATTGATGTTTCTGTTCCTCTCTCCCTCTCCCCTCCTCTCTGAAATCAACACAAATATATTTATATTTAAAAAAAAAAAAAAGAGGGTTTACTGGGTTACATAAACTTTTCATGGCCAGTCAGTTCTTCCCAGAGTCCTTCCTTCTGTGGCTGCCTAGAGTGGGAACTAGTGAATGTCACCCCTTCTCTGTCCCTCCACAGCCAGGCCGTGCAGAGACAGCGGGTCTCCCCTCATCAGCCGGGTCCCCTCCCTCTGGCCTCCTCTCCCCTCAGGCTCTCACATCCTCCCTCACTTAACACTTAGATCCGATGCTGTGCGCGTGCGGAAGGATCATTGTAATAAATCGTTAGCAGGTTGGCTTCTCAGTCAGACTGCAGTGTACACAGCCCAGCTGAGGGTCTCGCTGGTAAAGAGGATCGCATCCCTGGGCAGTTCCTCTGGTTCTGTCAAGAGCAAATGAGACAGACCCGAGTGTTGCTTTACTTACTAGGAGCCCCCATTTTATCCCCCTTAGATCCCTCCAAACTGCTTCTTCGCTTGTGCCCTGTACCCCCTTCCTCTGTGGGAGATGGGTTTTTACCGCTCGGCCTTCCTGGGAACGCTAACCTGTGCTTTGCTGGGACCCACAGCTCCTTCGTGGTGGAGCGGCAGCCCTGCATGCCCACGCACCCGCAGAGGCCGCTGGTCCTGAAGACGGGCGTGCAGTTCACCGTGAAGCTGAGGTGAGAACGCTCCCCGCTCCTCCCACAGCGCTGCCCGGGTGCGTCTGGGGGAGGAGTCCGCACTGGACACTTTATTCCGAACCCTTCTTCAGGCGGAGGGTCTGCCTGGCCCTTCCCCCTAGCGCTGTAAAAGGTGTGTGTGCGCACCACCCCGATTTTTTCCAGTGTAGACGCAGTGCGCATTCCCTGCACGAGGAAGTCAGACTGAGTGCCAGCAGCCCCTTCCCTCTTGAGCGTCAGTGCAGGAAAGAGCTTCATATGTCCCCAGAACCCATGTACCTTGTGTGGGGGCCTGTGGCACATACATTTTTCTGCCAAGTGGGTTCATAGTTCGCTCATCAGATGTGCAGACGCCTGTGGTAACAGCCTGTGCCAGTCCTCACTGGGTTTGTTCACGTCTACATAGTACATGAGTTATGTGTGTGTTTATAGACACACATGCACACACAGACACATATGATGTGCAGCGTCTTATGTCTAAGAACCGGGATTCTGCTAGTTAGTTGTTTTGCGGCTTGTTTTTCTCCTGATGATAAACTGTGGAGACGTTTCCATGTGAGGACACATGCTTTCCCTCCTATGGAACAGCTGCCCCGCTCACCTGCCCCTCCAGGGCTCTGGGAAGCAGCACTGATCAGAGGAGCAGCAGGGCTCCAGGGAGCAGTGGGACTCTGGGGAGCAGCACCAGCCAGGGGAGCAGTGGGACTCTGGGGAGCAGCACCAGCCAGGGGAGCAGTGGGGCTCCGGGGAGCAGCACTTGCCTTGAGTCAGCCCTGGTCCCATGTGCTGGGCTGATAGTGAGGTCGAAGGTGGTACTTCCTGGCACTACACTCAGCACCCTTGGGTCCTGGCACCCACAGCTGGGAGGGCACCGGAAGTCTCATCCCGTCACCTCCACATGGAGCAGAGCGAGACATAAGGGCTCCTGCCCGGGGCCTCCAGCTCAGCCGAGCACAGAAGGCCGAGTCTCCATTGCTCCACCCCGCCCAGGTGATGAGAGAGGGGACCCTCATCTTCCTGATGAGGGGCGACAGTTTTTAATCTACCCCCAAGCGAACAAGCATTAGATACAAGCTTTAGTAAAAGTATTTACTATATTTTACCCATACAATTGACCAAAAGTAGAAATTTTGTAAAAACCCCGCGTGGGCTAGGCTGTGTAGGGAGCAGGTGCTGCGTGCTCTCAGAGTCTGCCATCGCCATTCTGCCCGCAGTCACAGTTGGGCATGTGTCCCTCAAACACACTTCCGAAGCCCAGGCGCGCAGATACAGATGTCAGTGTCATTGTTTGTAATAACCCCAAGCTGGAGAAGGTGGGGGTTATCTAAATGTTCATTGATAGGGAATCGGCAAAATAAATTGTAATCGAGTTTTTTTTAAGTAATGATGACTTTCATTTTTCTTTCCAGATTGTTGGTGAAATTGCAAGAGCTGAATTATAACTTGAAAGTCAAAGTTCTGTTTGATAAGTAAGATATCTCGACTACTATCCAAGATGCACGTCCTATGGAAATGTGGCCGTTGTACGGGGATCCCAGCGGGTTGTAATTGCAGCTCCCGCTCCTGTCCCTCACACCTGGCCTGTTTAGACGGCATAGGAGCAAGTTCACAAGAGTGAGCTGGCACTGTGCCAGCCTCCACACCGCCTGCCTCCTAGGCCGCCCCGCCCGGGGGAGGCTGCAGGTGCCCAGCTGCCGTGACTGCAGCCAAGGGCTAAGCGGCCACTTCCGAAGGTCCTTTCGGTTCCGAGCAGGGCTCTGCTGAGGGGAGTCCTCGGGGCTTGGCACAGTGCTGTGCGTGGAGTGAGCAGTTGCTCCACTAATAGTGACAACTGAGGCTTGTGTTGCGTGAGGACATGCTGGCACCCATTGGCTAGCTCACACCTCACAAGAGACTGACGGCTGGTGCTGTTCGCATGTTGCACAAATGAAAAATTCCTGCCCTGTGATTCATTATCCAGTGGTCCTGAGCAGACGGGTGTGGGAACGAGTGAGCGAAAGGAAGGGCAGAAAGCCCACGGGTACAGAGTTACCTTTTTGGTGACCTTTTATTTGTAGATATAATTTTACACGTTTGATAAAGCTCATTTCAAAGCTTAAGTGCCTAGATACCATTTTACATGGATCCTTCTTTTTGCAGAGACGTGAACGAGAGAAACACAGTGAAAGGGTACGTAGTACTTGGCACTTATTCTACCACCTTCTTTCTTTGTCGAAGTTCCAAGCCGTTTACACCTCTCTCCTCTGCCGCCCAGGTTCCGAAAGTTCAACATCTTGGGCACACACACAAAGGTGATGAACATGGAGGAGTCCACCAACGGCAGCCTGGCTGCCGAGTTCCGGCACCTGGTAAGGCGGCCAGTCCCCCTTTACAGTGCTGCTGCTTTCCTAGGACTTTGTGGGATGTGGGGGGGCCCCCTGGGAGGAGATGCCCCTCTGTGACTGGTGACCACCCCTCCCCCCAGCGCTTGGGGAACCTCAGTCCCTCCCCAGCCCAGGACTGTGCACTCTGTCTGCTGCGTCTCTCTCCCAGAGACACTATTTGGGGTGCAGGGACTCAGTGTCTCCCACATACCAGTGCACACATAAGTGACCTGCACGTGGTGCCTGGTGCTCTGCCATTTCCCCAGAGGTTCTTGTGGTTCCAGCTGGGCCTTTCCTCCGCCCAGGTGTGGCAGACCCCAGGGTCCCCTCACCTCCTTCCTCACATTCGCCTCCTGGTGGCCCTGCACCACTGCCACCCGGCAGCAGGGGTGGAGGTGAGCGGTGCCTCAGCCGCCCCCCTGCAAACCCTGGTTGCATGCCGAGGACGGCTGGTGCCGAGCCTTCAGTGCTCCCGGAGCCTGCAGGGAGGCTCAAGGCAGCCTTCACCTAGCCGCCTCCCGGCCTCTCGTGAACAACGGCCCCTCCGGGAAATTAGACTTGGTGTGAGAGCCTCGATCCAAACTCAGGAGCCGAGCGCATCCAGAGCTGCTCTCGGACCCTAAGCTGTTTCCTCGACAACAAGGATCGGCTCCTTGTGAGGACAGTCTTAGCTGGTCCTGAACTGCTGGGCCTGCCTGGGGACTGCGGGGGCAGGTGGGGGAGCAGAGGCCGACCCCTGAGCCTGGAGAGCCTGGAGCGGCTGGGGAGGGAGATGAGTCACTCAGGGGAGGGAGGGCAGCTCCTCCCGCACGCGAGTGATGGCCGATGCCTGGCTGTGGGCAGGCTCCTGCCTGGGACCCCGCACAAGGCCCTGTAGTCATATGCTCTGGTTCTGAGCATAGCTTTCGGCTGCCTTCTTCCCGAGGCCCGACCCTGGTGTGATTGTAAATGAAAATGGCATCTTCTAAGATCGGGTCGGGTACTTAGGTGGCTTCTTGTTTTATAGCAACTGAAGGAGCAGAAGAACGCCGGCAACAGAACCAACGAGGTGAGTCTGTCTCAGCCGCAGGTCTGTCGGGGGGTGGCCCAGCACCCCCATGGCCGGGACGCCTCGCACAGGTGCTCAGGCCCAGCAGGGCAGAGTGGTGGGCGCGTCAGTAGCAACAGCAGACACCCTGCATTTGTGGCTTATGGCTTTCAAACGGTTCCGCTCTCAAGTGGGTCGGATCCTCCCAGACTGCCCGGGTGGGGGGTGACGGGGTCTGCAGGCGCCTGTGCTCCTCACGTTTTGCAGGGGAGACCTGGACCCACAGGAGGTCTGTGGGAGTAGCTCTGGGTGCAGAGGGTCACTGTCAGGACTGGAACTGGAGGCCGGTTTCTGCAACTGCCCTGCAGAAAGCAAGGTGCCCCTGCCCCCACGCCCCCAGGGCAGCGGCCTGCTGCCGCGGCCTTTTCAGAGCCACATCCTGGAGGATCATGTCCGTGCTGCGGTCAGCAGGAGCTGTGCATGGGGACGGCAGCACAGGGGTTTGGTGTGGAATGTGCCGTCCCTGCTGCCCGCCGCCAGCATAGGGGGGAGCGGGGGCCGGCCCTGGCCTGGGCCTGTAGTCTCCGTGGCCTCTGTAGTCTGTCCTCGCAGGGGAGCGGCCACACCTCTGGTTTGAGATGTGATGCTGTTCTTGCTATGCCAAGTGCTGGGGTCCCAGAAACCTCACGAGAGAGCCGGAGGACTGGCTGTGAAACGAGGGCTTATTAGGACTTCCTGTCCCGGTGGCCCTGGCTGTGATGTCACCGCCCACCGGCTGCCAACCCTGAAGTTGAACCTCTAAATTCGATCCGATCTGGCCCGTGGACGGGCCGCCCGGGACCCACACTCTCTGAGCTCGAGGTCTTACCCGGCTCAGAGCACAGAACCAGGGAGAGAGAGCAGGGAAGTGCGGAAGCCGTGTGAGGTCAGACCGTGGCTGTCCTGCTGAGGGGCTGGCCCGGCTCCCGAGGCCTCCCAGCCGCTCATGATGCGGCACTGCATTCCCTCAGGGCCGGGGCCGGGGCGGGTGGGCAGGGGGGGGGGGGGTGCCTCTGGGAGGGCTGTGTTCCCATCTCACGTGAGATAACAGGTAGCAGGGCTCTGTGAAAACCACATTTCTACCCAGATCAAGGCACTCGGTGACCCCAGGCTCATGCACATGGCCTTCCAGTTGGGAATCACACCTGGCCTGGCATCGCCCACCCACCTGCGGAGTGTGCAGCCCACTCGGGGAGGGGCATCAGGGGGTGGCAACAGTTCTTTCCCTGAGTAGTGGCCCTGGCCATGGTCCCAGCGCTCCGTGCTGGAGAGAACATGGGACGGCTGCAGTGACCGACCTGGGGTGGGAGGCCAGGCTGGCGCAGCTCTCAGCCGGGAAGTCTTGGGAGCGGCAGGACCCAACGCCAGTGCCCCCTTCTCGTGCAGGGCCCCCTCATCGTGACGGAGGAGCTGCACTCCCTCAGTTTCGAGACCCAGCTGTGCCAGCCGGGTTTGGTGATTGACCTGGAGGTAAGGTTTACGAGATCCAGCCGTGGGAAACTTCATTTCCAGCTGCTTGCTTGTGTGTTTATTTCTCAGTTTTTGCTTTAGAGGTATTTGCCTACTTGCTAAAAAAAAAAAAAAAAAGGGGATATTTCCAGCTAATACTCTTAATTTGGTGATTCATGAAGATAGCTAAATTGAACTACCCTTCAAAGTCTGTAAGCAAATTGTTTCAGTTGAGCTCGTCAATGTTAGTTTTTATGTGAAGCACTGAGACGTATGTCCTAACTGAAAGATAAACCAAAACAAACTAAGCCCTGGGCAGTATGGCTCAGTTGGTTGGAGTATCAGCCCTGTGTACTGAAGGATCCTGGGTTCGAGTCTCAGTTGGGGTATGTGTGAGAGACGACCAATCAATGTTCTCTCTTTCTCTCCCTGCGCCCCCCTCCACCCCGTCTCAAGGCAACTTTTAAAAAATGGCAACCTTAAGAAAAACACACACAAATTGAACTATGAGCTAAAGAACATAACTTGACATTTTAATTTTGAAGTGTAACATCGGTGTGATTTACCGAGAATCCCTGGCTCAGGCCTGAGGCTGCGCAGAGGTCTACAGCGGTGTTGCTGTCACTCAGACAGCTTCCTGGTCTCTGTCCTCTTGCAGACGACCTCCCTGCCTGTCGTGGTGATCTCCAACGTCAGCCAGCTCCCCAGCGGCTGGGCCTCCATCCTGTGGTACAACATGCTGGTGACGGAGCCCAGGGTACGTGCACACACGTCTGCTTTCACCCCGGCACCCACACCCCCTGCTTTAGCTCCCGTGGCTCCAAAAGAGCCGCCAGGGCCCCGGCCAGGGGCCTGGAGGGATTCTGGGGAAGTGGCTTGTGGCCGTGTTTTGAATGTTTTGAATGACTTCCCTTGGGTTTGACGAAGCCGGGCAGTCGGTGGTCTGTTATAACTTACTGTGGATGAGGCCTCTATTGTTACTTCTTTAAAATGGATGCATCTACTAAGCAACCTCATTGTTAGAGTGCGCACACTCCCCGATGACTGATTCTAGTTGTTCACGTACTCCAGTCCCTCAGGCACCGTGAGCACCTGCAGGCACCGTGAAAACTGGTTTAGCAAATACTGAGCCCAAAGAAGGGGGTTAGGCTCCTACAAGCCTCGGTTATAAGCTCTCGTCACCAGTTCGTAGATGATCTGTCTATGGTGACCTACGAACTGGTGACCCAGCAGCACTGAGCCTCGGCCTGAGCGCCGCCCACCGGGCAGCACGCTCCCGAGGCAGCACTTTCACATTTAGACAGTGAGGCCCCAGAATGGCACAGAGGCCGAGTGCTGGCTGTGCCTGACCTGGGAAGGACCGAAACTCTGAGAGGTGAACTGGGCGGGGGGGTCTGACCTCAATGGGAAGCGTGCTGTGGGTGACACATCTGTCAGCCGCGGTGCACGCACGGCCCCGAGTGAGCGCAGAAGCACGTGGGTCTCCATTTCCGAGCGACGTCCATTCAGGGAGCACTGGGTTCACAGGTGGGAAGCTGCAGGCCATGCGCATCGGCCCCGTTTCTCCGTCCGCCGTGGGCGGTCACGGAAGCCGGCTGTGCTGGGTGTCTGGCCTGCGGCCGTGGCTCTCGGGGAGCCGCTCACGTGGGTGTCTTCTCCCCAGAACCTGTCCTTCTTCCTGAACCCACCCTGTGCACGCTGGGCGCAGCTCTCGGAGGTGCTGAGCTGGCAGTTCTCCTCCGTCACCAAGAGAGGCCTCAACGGGGACCAGCTTGCCATGCTGGGCGAGAAGCTGCTAGGTATGCACGTCCCTCTGTCCATGCCCTCCTCTTCCCCCCCCCCCCCTCTCCCGGTCAAGGGGAGGAGGGGGAAATGGCTTTCCAGTGAAAAGCTCAGGAGACAGGCCGGCCAGAGGGCTGGGTGGCCTGTTTCCCACGATCTCGGTGGCACTGCTGAGCAGCGGTCCTAAGAGAAAGATGCTTTTGCATCATGAAAAGTATATTCCTGTGGCTAAAACAAGTTCCAAAGAGAGAGGTCAAGTCTTTTTCACCTTGGAAAGAAAACCAAATCTCCGCCACATGCGAATAGGGCTGGGGCCCGTGCACAGCACATCCTGGGCACCGGTCTCAGCGGCCAGTAGGGGGCCCTGCCCATTGCCCACATCAGGACCCCCTGACGAAGAGCTTCGCCTGCCGGGGCAGGTCCCCCCAGCAGATGGACCTCTTCCGGTGGCCAGTGCCCTGGTGAACGAGTCTCCCACTCTCAGCAAGTCGAAGGCCACTGGTCTCAGGCCGTCAGTGGGCGGGTGTGCACACGGTTTCTTTACGAATTCACGGCAGCATCGCTGTGGACGCGCTCCTGGCCCAGCAGTGCTGCTCTCACTGCAAATGCCCCGGGCTCCCCGGAACACAAGGCTCGCTGCAGCGCCTCCTCTTGGCCATGCAGCTGCTGGTGCCGCTGAATCAAAGTAGAAAGTTCCCGTATTTCTTCTTAGTTGGTGAGACTTAAGAAAGATATATTTCTCTCTGTAATGGCTTATTTGTGATTCTCTCTTTTAAAATATATGTGTGTTTTCATTGACTTCAGAGAGGAAGGGAGAGAAGCACCTATCAGCTGCCTCTTGCACACGCCACACTGGGCATGTGCCTTACCAGGCATCAAGCCGTGACCTCCCGGTTCATGGGTCTATGCTCAACCCCCAAGCCACACCAGCCGGGCCATTTGTGGTTCTATTTGTGTAGCTAGTAGCCCCGAGGCCTCCTTCCCCTCCCTTTCCGCTCCCTGGACTTCTGCCTCATTCGATAGAGCATCAGCCTTTGGACTGAAGGGTTCTGGGCTCGATTCCAGTCAAGGGCACAATACTGCGTTGAGGGCTCAATCCTCATTAGGCAGCATGCAGGAGGCGGCCGATCAGTGATTCTCTCTCATCATCAATGTTTCTGTCTGTCTCTCCCTCTCCCTTCCTCTCTGAAATCAACAAAAATATAAGACTCATGATTTACATCGAACTCCCTAGCCCAGTGGTCGGCAAACTCATTAGTCAACAGAGCCAAATATCAACAGTACAACAATTGAAATTTCTTTTGAGAACCAAAATTTTAAACTTAAACTTCTTCTAACGCCATTTCTTCAAAAGAGACTCACTCAGGCCGTGGTATTTTGTGGAAGAGCCACACTCAAGGGACCAAAGAGCCGCATGTAGCTCGTGTGAGCCGCGGTTTGCCGACCACTGCCCTAGCCCATGTCCTGTTTGGAGAAGGGGTGAGGGAAATGCCTAATTAAGACCTAAAAGAAGCTTATAAAGTCAAGTGTTTATTCAGTAGGTGGCCTACGGTGATCTCGGCCTTAGTTGCATTTTTAAACCAATTCTGTTTAGGTCACTGGAGAGGAAGCCGTGGGAGGATAGGGCCCAGGGAGGGACATACGGCGGCTTCTGCAGAAAGCGGTATCGGAGAGCAGCCATGAGCACACAGCCTTCCTGTGCCAGCGTGGCTCCTTTGAGGGCGAACATGAGCCGGGCCACCAGCCCCGCCAAAGCTCCGGCACTGACCTGTTTGCTGACAAAGCTTTTTCATCCCTCAGGCCCTGGCGCCGGCCCTGACGGCCTCATCCCGTGGACGAGGTTCTGCAAGGTGGGCCCTGTCCGTGTTTACGGTTTACGCTCCCTGTCCGCAGCCTTGCGAGGTCCGAGTCTCTCCGAGGGCAGTCCGCCGGGAGCTTATTTTGGCTCGTTCCTCTCCCCGTGGGCCCCGAGCACAGCGTTTACTTTCCTTGGCACCGAGGTTGGCCTCCCAGCGAGTCAGACAGGAAGTGCCTGCGGGTGATAACATTCTCTCACATCCCAGGCCAGTCTTGTTTGCTCGCATGGCCCCTTTGGCAGCGTGTTAGCCATCCGTGAGAACTGTGCTGGGGGGTGGGTTGGTGCCAGATGAGCTCCCCCAACCAGCACAACCCCCAGCCACCTCAACCCCCAGCCTCCTCAGCCCCCAGTCACCTCAACCCCCAGCCACCTCAGCCCCCAGCCACCTCAACCCCCAGCCTCCTCAGCCCCCAGTCACCTCAACCCCCAGTCACCTCAGCCCCCAGCCACCTCAGCCCCCAGCCTCCTCAGACCCCAGCCACCTCAGCCCCCAGCCTCCTCAATCTCCAGCCTCCTCAGCCCCCAGCCACCTCAGCCCCCAGCCACCTCAGCCTCCAGCCACCTCAGCCCCCAGCCTCCTCAGGCCCCAGCCACCTCAACCCCCAGCATCCTCAATCTCCAGCCTCCTCAAACTGAGGGACCAGCCCCCAGCCGGAGGGAATGATCAGACCCCTGAAGTCACCAGACTGCTACCTGCTCACTGCCTCTTCGAGCTTGCTACTTGCTGCTGGTCTGTCCGGTGCAAGGGTAGCTTTTGTTCTGATTCCCCGGAGTTTATCCCTGGCCTTTTGTTCTGATTCCCCGGAGGTCATTCCTTGGCCTTTTGTTCTGATTCCCTGGAGGTCATTCCCTGGCCAGTGCTCCTGTTTGGAGAGGGAAGCGGAGGCGGCCCAGGAAAGGCAGAGCTGGGCGTCAGGACCAGGAATGGGGGCTGCTGTGTATGGGACCGTGCAGGCCGTGGTCACTGGGCCGCCTCTGCAGAGTCCAGCCTGGTGGGAGGCGAGGAGGCACGGGAAGTCACCAATACTTGGATTCCTTGTTCCTAATGTGTGTCCTTGTTTACCTGCAGGAAAATATAAATGATAAAAATTTTCCTTTCTGGCTTTGGATTGAAAGCATCCTTGAACTCATCAAAAAGCACCTGCTCTCCCTCTGGAATGATGGGTAAGGGCCTTGGCAGACGTGGTGTTGACACCTGCATTCAGCACACTCCGGGCTGTGCGGCTGGCCCAGGCCTGGCCCGGTGCTGAGACCTGTGACGTCTCACAGAAACGGGGCTTCCAGCGTCCCTCAGGGCTGGGGGAGGGGGGTTCCTCAGAGATGACTCTGTGCGCTGAGTGCCCTTCCTACGTCTATTGAGCACCCACCCTGTTGCCCCAAGGAAGGAAGAAAACACTTTTATTATTATTTTTTAAATACGTTTTATTGATGTCAGAGGAAGGGAGAGAGAGAGAGAATCATCCATGAGGAGAGAGAATCGTGGATCGGCTGCCTCCTGCACACCCCACACTGGGGATCTAGCCTGCACCCGGGCATGTGCCCCAACCAGGAATTGAACCGCGACCTCCAGGTTCATAGGTCAACCAACCATCAACCACTGAGCCACGCGGGCGGGCCAACAAGTATTAACTGCTCACCTAGAGCCCCTGCTGGCCCGTGTTGGCGATCCTTTTTGGACTTCCGCAGACATCACAGGAGTCCTTCCTGGCTGTGGGTTAAAGCCTCTGAGTAGCCTGCCCCCTGTCAGCTGTTCGTCAGGGCCCAGCGGCCTCCTTAGGAAGTTGCATGAAGATTAAAACCAGGACTGACCGAACGCCGTGCCCTCCCGCCAGGTGCATCGTGGGCTTCATCAGCAAGGAGCGCGAGCGGGCGCTGCTCAAGGACCAGCAGCCGGGCACCTTCCTGCTGCGCTTCAGCGAGAGCTGCCGCGAGGGCGCCATCACCTTCACGTGGGTGGAGCGGGCGCAGAACGGAGGCGGTAAGCCCTGCCCTGCCCTGCCCTGCCCTCCCGCCACACAGTCCTGCGAACAGCCAGCTGCGACACAAAACCAGGAGCCGTCCTCACCCAGCCACCTCAGGCAGGACAGTCCATCGCATGAGTGTCTGTGGTTCCTTGTTGCCCTGGCAGCCAGGTCTTGGCAGGGGAAGGCTGCGGGGCAGGCACAGGTGCAGGGGCAGGCAAGGTGCAGGGGGGGCGGGCAAGACGCGGAGGGTGGGGGGGCACAGGTGCAGACAGGCTTTCTAAGATGGGTCCGGGCCTGGGTGCCGCCCTCCACCTGCCATCAGACGGGACAGATGCAAGTTGACATTTGTTACATTGGGATTCTGTTTAACGAATGAACCCATGACTGAGAAATGCTCGTTTTGGGGGAAAGGCTGAATGGCAGAGAAGGGCAGGGTAGGGGAGCCTTACAGCTGTGTTGGCAAACACGGTGCTGTTGGTAGTAATGACTGCCCGCTTTCCCCTGTTTATAAAAGGATTGTAATCGACTTACTGCACCGTCTGCGTGGCAACCCTGAGGCTGTGATTGGTTCTCGGTGCCTCCGATCCCTCGACTCCGCCGTGCTCTGCGTCTCCGTTGTGCTGGGCTGTCCCATGGGACTCACCTGGGTTTTCTTCTCTTCAGAGCCGAATTTCCATGCGGTGGAGCCCTACACGAAGAAAGAGCTCTCTGCGGTGACGTTCCCTGATATCATTCGCAACTACAAGGTCATGGCCGCTGAGAATATTCCAGAGAACCCCCTCAAGTACCTGTACCCCAACATCGACAAAGACCATGCCTTTGGGAAGTATTACTCCAGGCCCAAGGAAGGTGAGTGCCCGTGTTCTCACCTCATCACCATCACAGGCTCAGATGCCCTTGGGCCCTTGCCTCCCTCTCGGCACAATCCTAACCCCCACACTGAGCCGTCAGATGGCCACTGCCTTTCGGATTGCTCAGAGCGGGCTTTGGAAACATGGCACCCCCTCAGCGCAGCTGACCCTCCTGCATTAGTCGGCCTGAAATAGCTACTGAGAAATGAGTGTAAACGACTTCTGTTCTAGAGGGGTTTTGCATATCTATGTTATCACTTTTCTCATTTTGCATATCTGTTATGTTATCACTTTTCCTCATGGAAAGGGTAAAAGTTATACCGCTATGGCCAGCTGATTTATTCCAGCCTGCTCCTGTTAAAATCGGGTAAACTGAGGCCCAGGAGAAGTGCTGGAGTTCATGGGGTGGCCCAGTCAGGAGGAGGAGGCGTGTTGTGAACAGTGACTGTTGTGACGAGCAGACCTGGCGTTGAGCACGGGCCTCCTGCTCCCCGTCCTCCCTGCCTGGCACTGGGAACGCCAGTCAGGCTCCTCTGGCTGGGAACAGGCCTGCAAAGCTGTGTGCTTTCCAGAGCCTGAACCTCAGTGTCCGCAGTTCCTCCGGGAGGAGTCGCCCTCCCTCGCCTGGCCAACTGTGTGGTTACGCCAGCCAGGCCGGCTGCAGAGCCAGGCTCAGCTCCTGCAGGGTTCCGAGCCTCGGAAAGAGAAACCGCTCAGCCTAGCTCAGGCCCCCTAAGGTGACGGGATTCCCGTATCTGACTCTTGAGAAAAAGTAGTCACTTTTTGTTGTTGTTCATCCTCATCTGGTGATATCTTTTCCCTTGAATTTTTTAGAGAGTGGAAGGGAAGGAGGAGACAGAGAGAGAAACATTGCTGTGAGAGAGACACACGGATTGGTTGCCTCGTGCACAGGCCCCGACTGGGCCCGGGGATTGAGCCTTGCAACCGAGGTTGACCGGACTCGAACCTGTGACCCTTTAGTCCTTGGATCGGTGCTCTAATCACCGAGCAACCGGCCAGGGCCCAAAGTAACATTTGGTGAGAGAGGCGTGCCTGTGCGCGTGGCCCTGCTAATGGCGTGTCCTCTGTGCTCCTTCCAGCAGCAGAGCCCATGGAAGTCGACGGCCCCAAAGGGACGGGTTACATCAAGACGGAGCTGATTTCCGTGTCTGAAGTGTAAGTGGCAGGAGAGCGCGGCTGCCCCGGCCGGGCCGTGGAAGACATTCGCGTTTGCTTTCCTTGTCCTTGTTGCCGCCGCCGCACTCAACCCGATGGGAAGACCCCAGTTAGCGGCCCAGTGTCACCGCCTCCGCATTTTACTGCCTTTATATAAAAAACAAACAAACAAAAAAATCAAAAAAGCACCCAAAGTTGTATTTAGAGGATATAAATTCTCCCCAGGGACTTTGAAAAAATGTGAATAAAATGAACGAAAACCGACCAGAGTGGGAAAGGAGTTCTTTTCGATCTGGAAAAGGCCACCGGGATGGTTGAGATACATTTCTTCCACCTGCTTTTATTTTGTCCTTTCGTTTCATAAAAGGCAGACAAAAAATGGGAAAAGTCACGGTCAGTAGTTTGGCCTGAGCGCCGTGGGGCGCACGGAGTAGCCTTCACGTAAAAATCTCGGGATCAGCTTCCTCTGCACTCACTCCGCAAGGTAGGGAAGAGGGACTCCCACCGCCTCCATGTGCCCGAGCCGGGCGGCGCCCGCGCCCGCGCCCGCGCCCACGCCCGCGCCCGCACGGCCAGGCAGCGGCCGCAGGGGCCGCAGCCTCCCGGGGCCTGCACTTCTTAAAGTGCGCTCTGCAAGTGTGCCCACTTCCTGCCATCGTGCAGTCACAGGCAGACGACAGGTGCCGGCAGAGACCCGCTTTCCTCGCCCAGCGCTAACCCTCCTCCCTCTCCCGGTGCAGGCACCCTTCCCGACTGCAGACCACAGACAACCTGCTCCCCATGTCTCCGGAGGAGTTTGACGAGGTGTCCCGGATCGTGGGCCCCGTGGAATTCGACAGCATGGTGAGTGTCCACCCCCCGGGCTGGGGGCTTCCTGGGCAGGGCGGGCCCCTCGCCCCAGCAGACCTGGAGCGGCTGCAGGGGGTCAGGCGGAGCCTGGCAGAGCAGCTGTGCCCGAACAAGCCTTGGCGCCCCAGGGTTTCTACCCTGGTGGCGGCACCTCCCAAAACTGGAGGCATTTCAGAGGCCCGAGCCCCTCGCCCTTTGAGGCTGTCCGCTGGCGATGTCCCTGCATCCAGGGGCTCGGACCCTCTGACCCGGCTTACCTGGGGCCTGCTGCTTCGGGGTGGGAGCTGTTACTTTTAGGGGGGCTAGCGGGTGGAAACGACAGCGCTGATGAGAGACGTGGCGGCTGCAGGGAGCCCTGCTCCCGGCTCCCGGCTGGGACTGGTGCAAACTGCTGGCACCTGGGCCCGGAGGGAAGCAGTTTGTGGGGTCGGCTCCGGGGCCTCTTCCTGCGGAGGAGGGCGTTTCCCTCTTTCCGGTCTGTCAGACGTGTAATCTGCTCATCAGCCTGAAATCCTCCCAATGTTTTTGGTTGGCTGGGTCTTTGCTGACGCCGTTTAGTTTTAAGCTTTTCCACACGAAGCCATTCCCGCTCGTTGTGAAAGAAGTGTTTCACGAGCCTTCCAAACATCCTTTGTGCTTACCGGCCTTTCTGCATCTCCAGGGACCTGTGGACCAGCTGCATCGTGGGAGGGAGGTTGCATGGGCTCTGCTCTGTACACATTCCAGGCCCAGGTTCATGCAGGCAGGGCCCCAGTTACACCTTCAGGGTCCCAGTCACACCCTCAGGGTCCCAGTCACACCCTCAGGGTCCTAGTCACACCCTCAGGGTCCCAGTCACCCCTTCAGGGTCCCAGTCTAACACTCAGGGCCCAGGGTCCCAGGTACCCCCTCAGGGTCCCAGGTCACACCCTTAAGGTCCCAGGTACCCTCACAGGGTCCCAGTCACCCCTTCAGGGCCCCAGTCACACACTCAGGGCCCAGGGTCCCAGGTCACACCCTCAGGGTCCCAGGCACCCCCTCAGGGTTCCAGGTTCCCCCTCAGGGTTCCAGTCACATCGTCAGGGCCCAGGTCACACCCTCAGGGTCCCAGTCACACCCTTAGAGCCCAGGTCCATGCGCGCAGAGAATGCATTTATAAAACATCAGGAATACCTGGTTCCAGGTAAGTTTCGGTATGTCACTTTCTCTTCATCTTTCGTCCTCACCTGAGGCAGCACAGGCTAAAACCCTCAGACCGGCCTTTCTTCTGCTTCCTGATTGCTGACAAAATGTCTAACCGTCATTAAGAAAAAAGCCTGGGTAGTGAAAGCCAGCAGCCTGTTCCTGTGGACACCTCTCCGTTAAGGTCACATCCTCCGTCAGTGTCCCCCTGGTCCTGGGGAAAGTGTCAGCGAAGGAGGCAGAAATAGAAAGCCTATTCAGGACATGTGAGCCGGCCCATGGCCAGCGGCCACCTATGAACCAAGAGGTCACAGTTCCATTCCCGGTCAGGGCATATGCCCGGGTTGCAGGCTCATTCCCCAGTGGGGTGTGCAGGAGGCAGCCTATCCATGATTCTCTCACATTGATGTTTCCCTCTCTCTGTCCCTTCCTCTCTGGAATCAATAGACATACATTTAGGGGAAAAGAGAGCATGTGAGATAGGCCAGTGGGACCAAAACACAGCTGCCTTTCTCCGCTTCTATTGTCCTGAGCATGTGGCCTGGCCTCACACAGCCACAGGCGACACTCCTCCAGCACTGGCTGTGTGCAGGCATCCGCAGGTCACACCTCGGTCCTCACACTCCTCCAGCACTGGCTGTGTGCAGGCACCCGCAGGTCACACCTCGGTCCTCACACTCCTCCGGCACTGGCTGTGTGCAGGCACCCGCAGGTCACACCTCGGTCCTCACACTCCTCCGGCACTGGCTGTATGCTAGGCACCCACAGATAATCACACGGCCTTCACGCTGCCTCCTGAGCTGGTATTACTATTACTCCCATTTCTGTGGGTGTGGAAAAGCACCCCCAAGTCTGGGTGACTTGATAAGGTGGAACAGTGAGTGAGGTGGGTATGTGAATCTAGGGGTGTGAGAGCCTGCCCTTGTCCACCGTCCCCAACGCCTCCCACGGACAGCATCCTTGCTCCACTCGAAGCCGTGCCTGGAGGAGCTGGCGGGGCATCTGATCTGCTGTGGATGGGCTCTGTGGGAAGCGCCATGTGGGAGGGGCCGTGGGCCTGGATGAGAGGCTGTGCTGGGGGCTGGACATCGGAGTTCTGTCATTTCTGTTACTCCCTTGGCCCCGAGGGAGTAAGGTGGATGAGTTCCCTCCATCTGTGTGCAGTGCGAGTGCATTCTCCATGCTCTGAGCGATCCTGGGAGAGCAATGGACACCTCTACATAACGCTGAGATGTCCCTGTAGCCATCCCGTCCATTTCAGATGGTTTCCTTCATTTCAGGGTCACAGTCCATGTAGAATAAATGACCCTGCTACGCTCCTGTGCACGCACGCCCACACATCCCCGATTACAGGTGGAGAGGAAGGACTTACGGAGCTGAGAGGCCCGAGTGCGAGCACACTGTCTAGACACGCTGGGTTCATCCTGGCTGAGGAGACCGTCTTGTCTGTGTCCGATGGTCTGTCCTCACCGGGCCCGCGGTTCCCAGCAGCATCCACTCCTGGGATACGGCACCTGCTCTGAGATGGAATAACTCCCAGAGCTGGTCCCAGGGCTGAAGGCAGCAGCTATGGGTGCAGGTAGGGGGCGGGGGTGGCTCAGGTGGAGGTGGCCCGGGCGATGCCTGTGCCCCTCAGGAGCAGGAGCCCGCAGACCCCGGAGGTTGTCCCGGGAACAGCACCTACAGGACAACGTGCATGTCTCTCCTGGATTTCCTGTCCAATAAACTCTCCTCGGCGCCAGAAAACCTCTCTCCCCCAGGCCTTGGGTTAGAGCTGATGTGGCCATAGAGGGACCGTTAGTCACTGTGGCTGTTGTCCGTCTGCCATGCAGCAGTCTCTGTCCAGTTTCGCCCTCGAGCACCCATCTGCCTTAGCTCCTGAGGGGTGTGGGGGCACTGAGATGCAGAGGCTACGAACACGCCTGTCACAGCTGCTGAGGGACGGGCAATACAGCCCGGGCTGCCTCTCCCGCCCTCTCCTCCCCCAAAGTCTACCCCAGCTACTGTAGCTGGAGCATCAGCCGCACAGAACATGGTGCTTTTCACCCCAAATCATTGTCCTGGCGCCTTCCCTCCGGAGCACGCCCTGCCTTCCCTGCCCCTCCCCCAGGCACCGGCACGTTACCCGTAGCTCAAAGGGCTCTTCCTTCACCCCTGCAGCTTGTGTCCTGAGCCCCGTCCTCCTAGCACTCGCTGCTCCACCTCCGTAGTTTGCCCATCACCAGGGGCCACCCCTAGTGAGCACTGGGACCGAAAAGAATGGGCGTTTCATTTCGGGCTGCACACCCCTCGTGCAGGCCGGTCTGTGTAGGATGCTCAGTGGCTCACTAGGTGCCAGCAGGAGAGCCCAGGCTGGCAGGGGGCAGGTGCCCTCTGAGTGAGCACGCCCGCCTGCCAGGTGCCCTCTTCAAGCAGTGAATAGGAAGCACTGCTGTTCTCCACCTGAGAGGCAGTCTCATTCCTGCCGAGCTCCATGGAGGCACATCCCTCCTGGTTCTGCAGGAGCAGGTTTGCTAGTTGCATAATAGCTGAAAGCTTTGCAGCCCGGAGGGGTGGCCTGGCTAAACCAGCAGGCTGCAGAGCGCTAATCCATCAGCTTAGGGCAGTGGTCGGCAAACCGCGGCTCGAGAGCCACATGTGACTGACATCTTCACTTCTAACGCCACTTCTTCAAAATAGACTGACCTGCGCATGGGCCACGAAGTTTCAGTAGCACTGTACGTGCGCGCACCTGTTATTTTGTGGAAGAGCCACACTCAAGGGGCCAAAGAGCCGCATGTGGCTCTCGAACTGCAGTTTGCCGACCACGGGCTTAGGGGGTGGAAAGGGCCTCAGTGAGTCCTGGGGAGGGAGCCGGGCTGACAGCCTCTGTTCCACGTCAGGTGCTGTTGGAATCGGCTTCCTGCTCTTTGGTAACAGACGGGCTGTGTGAACTCTGAGCCTGCCCTGGACCAGAGCTGTCACTCAACGACCTGTGTCCTCTCTCCGCAGATGAATGCTGTATAGGCAGGCGCCTGCTCATCTCCGCTGACACCCATCCTTCGCACCTGCTGCTCCCTCCTGCTCTGTCCTTGGCGTCCTGCTTCTAGGGAAGGGAAGAAAGGCCACAGTGTGCGGCAGCCTATTAGTGAGCAGATTCCCCTAATTCAGAAACACCTGTTCCCTGCAGGCTGCTGCGTCCAATTAAAGGTAACGGAGAGGCCCTCCCCACGGAGCGAGCGGGGTTCAGGTGAAGGCAGTGAGGACTGCCAGGGTGAGAGTGGGAGGCGGAGACGCCAGCAGCACCCAGCAACTGCTCACCAGGGGATTCTGCCGGAGAATTCGTGTTTGTTTTCTCTGCCTGAAACAGGCTGGAAATTTCCCCGGCTTCCCTATGAAGCATTCAAAGCTATGTATCTCTAGAATCACACCACCTCCTGGCAGAGGGGCCACCCTGACCCTGGGCAGGGAAGAGCGGCCGTGTTCTGCATTTTACTGTAACTCCCACACCAGCCACGTGCAGCCAAAGACAAATGCTCTCTCTCGGGGGACTCGCTCTTCTGTCACGGTTCTGATTCTGGCTAATACCAGTCGAGACAGCACATTTCCACACCCGGGAGTCGTGCTTTCTGTCCCAACATGAGTGTCTACAGCTGAAGACACGGCCTCCATCACCGCTGCCGTTAGCTCTGTCCGGGGAACAGCTGTTCCCAGACCCTGGTACTCTGTCCAAGGCTGAGAGTGATCGCAGGTGTAGACGAACTCAGAAACTCAGTTCATGTTCCTTCAATGGGTCAGCTTCTCTCTATTGTTACTCACTGGCATTTAGTCTCCTAGTCATTACATTTTCAAGTTGAGAAAGAAAGAATAGTAGCTGGCCAACCATTAACCAGAGGTACTCCGAGAAATCAAATCACGTGAGCGCTCACCCTGTGTAACCGATTGAGAATGGCTTCTTTTCGCTGATAAAGTGTTTCTCCGACAAAGGCCTTTGAAGCAAAAGGTCCCATCGTCTGTCATGCTTCCCAGACCCGTTTTGACTGGTGGTAGTGTGTGACGTGTATTATGTTACATGCCTTTTTTCCTTCCTTTGTTCTGTCTGACACAGAAATCATGTGTGGGGGTCGGGTTTGACACGGTTCTTCAGGTGTCCTTGCAGCTGCGTCTGCTCCCGCCGTCACCGTGTCACTGTACCCTGAGCAGGGCTGTGCTTTGGGGGGGGGGGGGGGGGGGGGGGGGTGAGGTTTGTTGGATGTCTGTTCTGAATTAAAGCCCACGCCTCCCATCGCCCCAAGGCCGTGTGCACTTGTCCTTTGTCCTGAGCAGCAGCCAGGCCGCCTCCCCCTTCACACCTGAGGGGCAGCAGCCGGGCTGGTTGTGCATGGACTTGGCCAATGGAAATGATAAAGGAACAGACTTCTTTCTCGCTGCTGGTGTTCCCCTCAGGCGTGCGCTCTCCCTGTGAGCGTCTGGGTGGCTCCTGGCACGGCCCTGGCCAAGAGGCTGTCGGCTCTTCAGGAAGCATTAAATGCTAGTGCTGGTCCCTTTATAGCATTCGGGTGAAGATCTTAACAGTTACTAGCATTAGTAGTTTGGGTGTTTTATCATTTTTTTTAAACTTATGATTAAACTTAAAAATATATTTCTCTTTTTGGGGGTGGGGTCAGAGATCTGGGTAAGTTTATTTTACTTTTTTTCTTCTTGCTGCTGCTGTTTTTCATAGAAAATGATCAGTCCTTTATTTTATTTTTTTTCAACATTTCTTTACTGATTTCAGAGAGGAAGGGAGGAGATAGAAACATCAGTGATGAGAGAGAATCATTGATCAGCTGCCTCCTGCACATCCCCGACTGGGTATTGAGCCCACAACCCCGGCATGTGCCTTTAGCTGGAATCGAACCTGGGACCCTTTAGTCCCCAGGTTGACACTCTATCCACTGAGCTAAACCAGCCAGGGAATGATCAGTCCTGTAAAACGGGGAGGGGAATGTCTGCCCTGTGGGCTGTATTAGGCCCTTCGGTCTGGCCCTGCCAATATATGAGGGGTGAGCAGGCTAATTTTTTAAAATACATATTTTATTTAACTCAGAGAGGAAGAGAGAGGGAGGGAGAGACACATCAGTGATGAGAATCATTGATCAGCTGTTTCCTGCAGGCCCCTTACTGGGGATCGAGCCCATAACCCAGGAAAAAGGGTCCCACTGCCGCTTTAAGTCAGATTAACAGCGTCGTCTTCCTCAGTGTTTGCTCCCTCAGCCACTGTGCAGGTGAGGCGGTCCGGGCAGCATCAGAGAGGACAGTGGTCAGAGGGGGCAGCGGTCAGAGGGGACAGCGGTCAGAGGGGACAGCGGTCAGAGGGGACAGCAGACAGAGGGGACAGAGGACAGAGGGGACAGAGGACAGAGGGGGCAGCATCAGAGAGGACAGCGGTCAGAGGGGACAGCGGTCAGAGGGGGCAGCGGTCAGAGAGGACAGGGGACAGAGGGGACAGAGGACAGAGGGGACAGAGGACAGAGGGGGCAGCATCAGAGAGGACAGCGGTCAGAGGGGACAGCGGTCAGAGGGGGCAGCGGTCAGGGGGGGCAGCGGTCAGAGAGGACAGAGGACAGAGGGGGCAGAGGACAGAGGGGGCAGCGGTCAGAGGGGACAGCGGTCAGAGGGGACAGCGGACAGAGGGGGCAGCATCAGAGAGGACAGCGGTCAGAGGGGGCAGCGGTCAGGCTCTGGAACAGAACAAAACAACCCGTCTCTGCCCCTTTGAATAGCTGACTTCCTTCTCTCACCTTCCCATCTGAAAATACACATGCCTTCCCAAGACGTTTCCTCAGCCCGTCCTTTCCGTCTGAAACTGTGTACTCCCACCTGCCCCCCCCCCCCCCCCACACACACACACAGCCTTTGGTTTGAGTACCGCCTGGCACACTCCTGAGCTGCTCGCCTGCCGTCTGTCTGCGTTACTGTGAGGTCAGCAGGTCAGCAGGTGAGAGCGGACCACCCGGCCCCCGCCCCTTGCTTCAGAGATGGAGTCCACACTGGTGCTCACCGCACCATCCCGGTGGCTGCACCCACACCGGGCCCGGGGCCTGCCCACCCCGGGGCTGGTGGAGAACCCGGGGCTGATTTTTCAAAAACTTCAGTCACAGGTTTTTTGGATACATGTATTTATTACGCGGTGGAAAGCAACACTACCCAGTTTATTTTAGATTTCACTTAAAATAAACACTTCCCGATTTCAGAACACGAACAACATTGCAGTGTTCCGATTAGGTTCCGAGGGAGGTCCTGGCGGCAAATACATTCAGAGCTGAGCAATCCCCGGAGGAGCTAAACCCAACACACAGGCACCCAGGCCCGGCCAGACAGACAGCAGCCCCCGCGGCCAACCGCTCGCCCGCTCCCCGGTTGGGGGACAGGGGCAGTGTGGGGCGGTGAGAGCACAGACCAGAGCCGCACAGCAGGGAGTACAAAGCGTGAGAAACCGCCGGAGCGCTCCGCAGAGACCTTCGGGGTCTCCAGGCGGCATCCACTGGCGGCACCCACAGCAGTGACACCGAAGGTACTCGCGGCTGTCAGCCTCCGGCCAGCGGCCCCAGCGGGAGCCGCTGCGGCGGACATGACCTCGTGGTAGGAAGGGCACACAGCGCGAAATCACAAAGCCTTTACAGAGTCCTAATCGGAAATGACAGCGAGGGCTCTTTCCTTTAAAGCAGGGCGCCCCGGCCATCGGTGACGCTTCCGCCACGTGAGCGTCCGAGGGCCCCGAGCACACAGCGCTGCTCCGAGCCGGGACCCTGGAGTGGGGTCAGGGGTGGAGGGGGGGCTTCCCGGGGCAACGCTGCTCCCGGCCTCCTCCGCCTCGTTCCCACAGACCCAGGCCGGGCTGGTGCCCGGCGGCTCGGTCCTCCACGGCCACGGCCACGGCCACGGCCACGGCGAGCCACGGACTTAGATGAAAGCAAAAGGGGAAACGCTGGAGGCCGCTAGCGGGGTCGGCGGGCCGTGAGGCAGCGGGCAGCTCGGAGGCAGCGTGTGGCCCGTAGGAAAGGGGAAGGATTTGCTGTGTAATGTGAACACCAGCTTGTCTGTGGGGGAGGTTTCTGCTCATTTCTCAACGGCTTCAAAGAAGACGGGGGTGTGTGTGCGCTTACTATCAAGATAGTCTCACTAACATACGCCTTCACCTCTGAGGTCTGATACAGTGTATGTGCAATTCCCTCCCCGAAATTGCTGCAGCTCCATTTACAACTAACTGGCCTTGTTCTGAACGCAGCAGCCGCCGGGGGTCTGCCAGGGAGGAGAGGGGGCTGAGGGCCCTGGTGGACCCACGGAACGCACCTCCGCAGCGGTTCCCTCGGGACTCTGGACGCTGACTGCTTCCTAAAGAGCCGCAGCAGCACATCCCCGGCCAATTCGTACTCAGTTATCTGGTTGGTCTACAGACAGACAGCCTCCTTACAGCTCAGATGCCAGATCTGGCGGAGTCTTCTGACTCACTGGGAACGTGGGGAGGGGCATGCCACACCCCCTTTCCCAGCTGAAGGGCCCAGAGGCATGTGGCCGCGCCTGGGAAGAGGCTGGGCAAAGGGGACATAGAAAAAGGAAAAATTTCCAAAAGTAGTGTAGCTACATCGACACATTTTTGGTCACCAAACGTATCTTCAACAGATTCCCTGATAAAGTCTGATCAGAATTGGTCTATCCTACTAAACACTGTTAACTATGGTAATTATTAAAGTCACATCGTGAAGCTGGGGGGAGGGGAGAAATCTTAAACACACAACCATGAGTGCACGCAGTTGTTCAAACGCTCAGACTAGTCTCTACAGGAAGTCCTGGAAATCGCACTATGCGGTTCTACAGGCAGCCTGGCCCCTGCGGACAGGCCGTGGAGATAACAGCTTAATTTCTATTGATGCATAAGACCGAGAGTCCACAGAACACACACAAGAATCATGAGGACCTCACAGCTAAGCCAGCACTGGGACTACTTCTGCATCGGACTCTACAGCGCACCAGGCCACAGCGCTCACATTGTGGAGGGAGGAGGTTTTACTTCTGTTTTGTCCCCAGAGAGATCAGGTTTGTCCTGGGCGTGCAACGGAGAGACTGCCAGTAGCACTGAGCTGACCCACGCTGCAGGAGACACACCGCCAGGCAGAGACACACGTGTTCCGTGACCACGTCCACGGTGACACGGGTAAGGGGCCGGGCCGGGCTCCGGCGTCACAGGAGGCCGTCGAGGTTCTTGTGCACGGTCTGGTTCTCCTTCCCGTCGTCGGCGTCGCCCTGCGGCGTGTACTGGCCCTGGTACTCCTGCAGGATCTTGAACACGTCGTGGTGGCCGAAGTGCAGCGCCTCGTCCATGGGCGTGTTGTTCCACCTGCAGGCAGCACACAGAACAGGGCGTGAGGCGCCCGGACAGCGCGGTCCTGCCCCTCCGGGCTCAGGGGCAGGGAAGGGTCATCCGTGCCAGCTGAGCCATGTGACAGTGACCATTAGTGGGAGGAGTACACAGGAGGGCCTGGGAGGCAGCCTTGGGGAGCAGGAGGACAGGGAACAGACCCAAGCGCTCCGGACGGAAAGTCCTGGCTGACAGAGAACAGACCCAAGAACAGACCCAAGCGCTCCGAGAACAGACCCAAGCGCTCCGGACGGAAAGTCCTGGCTGACAGAGAACAGACCCAAGAACAGACCCAAGCGCTCCGGAACAGACCCAAGCGCTCCGGATGGAAAGTCCTGGCTGACAGACAAGGGAGGCTCCTCAAGGTCCCTGAGCTGGGACTCCGGGAAAAGCTCCAGGGATCTCTCTCCATAAAAAGTCCAAAGGAAATGCAGGTTTGTAGCACCCATCCCCCTAGCCTTTGCTACAGAAATTACGTTCCTATGAATTCAGAATCGCAGTGAGTCTCAGGGGTCTGGAGATAACTGCAACCCCAATTAGGGTACAAGCACACATCGTAGGAGCAAGATCGACCCCAAGGAATGGACTGTTCACCTTCCCTGGTGAAGATGGGACCCGGGGCCAGCGCCCGGGCAGGAGGGCGACCCTGCCCTTCCCACGTGTTCCTGCTCTTGGGGTGACGGAGGGGAAGACTGGCCACAGCGGTGAACCGGCTCTCCAGCCTCTTAAGAAATGAGACAGTGGGTGACACACAACCCAAGGAAGGGCAGAGGGTGACGGTGGTTCCCTAACACTCACAACCGATGCAGCCTCCCTCCCTCCTCGCCGCTGGCGCCGGTCCTTGGCACAAGGCTCTCGGGCTCCTGTGCCACACACCACCTGGCTTCCTTCCTTCTCTTTCTCCCTCTGATGGACCCGACAGGTTTTGCATATTCAGTTTCATTTGAAAAATATTTCTGGATAAAGCTTGGTAATTTTCTTAATTTTTAAAATCAGGTAAGTAACATTTTAGTTGTATTTTCCCCCCAAAAGTCCCAGATGAATTAAGTTGCTTTTACTTTTTTACTGGCCTTCATTTATTTAGGGAGTCAGTGGCCTTATATTGGGGTGAGGACAGTTTTCAGTCTTCTACAGCATATAATTACCTGTCTTTGGGTGTGGGGGGGGAGAGAGATTGAATGTTAACTGCAAGTTACCTTCTTTACAACTTTTTCCATGAAACAATGCAAAATGTCAACTTTACAGAACACACTGCATTTGCTCAAGCCTATTCTTCAAGTTGAGGTGACGCTGACTGTGAAGTAGAAGAAAGAACTGTCTTGGTTTAACCTAAAATCTCAAATAGTTGGATACCTAGTTACCAAGGTACTTGCGTAGCTAACCTTTGCCACCCATTGGGTACTTCCCTTCCCCATTCCTACTGGCCAGTTAGGACAGGAAACCACTACACATCCCAGTCCCTAAATATGCGAGCACAGCCACAGTCTCCACACGTGGGCGTGAGGTTTGGGCTGGGACTATCGGACGGGGGAGGGAGCGCGTTCAGTTTCTTGCTAAGTACGAGCGGCGTGGGCACTACGTCTGGGGACAAAAGGGAGGTCTGGGGATGCTGCTGTTGAAGGTGATGGCCTAGAGAACCACTGTGCTACCGCACCTACAGAGCTGCTCACAGTTCTCAGACCCTGACACGTCCCTTTCCTGCACTTCTTGCAAGCTGAGCTAATAAAAGCCAAAGCTCTCATTTTTTTAAAAAAGTAGTAAAACCTTAATAACTAGAGAATAATCAACATACTCCAAATGTAATGCCATCTTCAAGTATCCCACCCAAAGTCAGTACCACACCTCTCCCAGCACTCCTCCCTTCCTCCATTCTCCTAACCCTTTATCTCCTCCTCGCTGACCATGGATCAGAAGACATAGGGTAGCAAAATGGATAACAAGACTCCTGTGCATGCTGTCTAAAGGGACCCGCCTCGGAATGGAAAATACAGATGAAAGAAAAGTAAAGGGATGGAAGAGATATTTCATGCCAAGGGGAAAAGAGGGCTGGGGTAGAAATACTCACCAGACCAACAACACTTTAAAAACCAAGGCTAAAAGGCTGTGAGAAGGACAAAGATGGACACTACATGATGATAAAGGGATCAGTCCAACAGGACGCAGCCCTTGTAAACATCCGGGTACCCAACGTGGGGGGGGGGGGGGGCAGCTAAGTCCGTAAAGCACACGTGCAGTTCTGACACGTACGGGCGCATAAGCAGGCGTGCAGATCTAACATGTATGGGCACAGAAGCACGCATGCAGTTCTGACACGTGTGGGCGAATGGGTAGAAGTCTGGCATCTACACGCACTTGCCCCTCCTGGGCGCCCTCTGGGGGCAAGTCTCATGCAGGGTGAGTGGCAGCGTGCCCTCTGGGCCGAGAGGGAGCCGAGGGAGCGAAACGTGTTGCAGGCCGTTTCTCCGGCTAAAGCAGCGAGCCCTTCTCTCCCAGCCTCCCAGCCCGAGTCCCCAGGACACAGATTGAAATCCCACTTCCTCCAAGCTTCCGAGAGGGACCTGGACCCACCAGGGGACTTTCAGAACCCCAGCACTCGCTGCAGAGCTCCAGGCCAGCAGCACGCACACGCGTCCTAAACATGTGCCTGTCGCGTCTAGTCCACCCTGTGTAGGCGAAAACCCCCGAGGACACATTCCTACTCCCTCTTTCCACGCGCAAAGAGTTGTTTCCTCCCTACGGTGTGCTGAGCGGACAGCCAGCCACACGACTGAGAGACATGCTGACGACAGGCCATCTTGGGTAAGAGACGGAATAGGAGAGGACCCGCCCTCCCCCGGCAGGCACCACACCCAGTTCCAGAACGTCTCCCACATAAACGCGGTGGGTTAAGGGGTGACCTAAGCTAGCATGCCCTTGACCTGCGTGGTCAAACCCCGACCGGCACGGTATGCGGGAGGCAGCGCTGGGCTCACCTGTCCTTGGGGAAAGGGTTGACTTTGCAGGCTTCCAGCAAAAACTTCACGACTTCGACGTGACCTGTAGCCAACACAGAGCAGGCAGGGGTCAGGGGTCAGTGCCGAGCGGAGGTCAAGTCTGAAAAGGAAGTGGGGGAGGGGCCATCCTCACCCTCAGCTGCCGCCACGTGCAGGGCCGTCCTAGAGTCGTAGTCTCGCTGCTCCATGTCCATGGCCGACAGGGCAAACCTGGAAATGTGGAGGCACAGCTCTTCATCTGTGCTTACAAAATGCTAAACGCACACTCACAGCATTGGCCTGGTTCAGGCTGAGGCCCGGGAGGCGGGGCCCTCCACCGCGCCCCCTCCTCGGCTTGCTCTCGCCCAGGTCGTGTTACTCCAGCTGGAGAACAGGGCCCCACCGTGCGAGTGTGAGCCTCAGAGCAAGCAGCTAGCCCCTCACTCAGCGTGGCCCCCAGACGCCCATTCTTCACAGGCCACAGGCCACCGTGCACGAGAACCAATCGGGCTTCATTTTCCTCCAACGTCGTTGAAGAGCTCAAGTTCACTGAGATAGAACTGACATGTACGCTGATGGAGGTTTGCTGCGTACAGTGTGTTGATTGCATACACTTATATATCGCAATAGAATTACCAGCAACGTGCTCGTTAGCCAACGCCTGTGGGCCCACGGAACTGTTTTCTGTGGTGAGAGCAACAAAGACCCAGGCCGAGCTCAGCAGCTCTGAGGTGCTCAGTACAGCACGGGCACAGGGGCCAACGGACGTGAAAGATGGAGTGAAGCACAGACTCGATCACCCTGGTGTTACAGCTCTACACAAAGGCCTGACGTCAAGTACACAGCGCCACGCAGCCTCTGCCGCCTCTCCTCTCCTCCCCCCGTCCCCCTCCCCCCAGAGAGGGGAGTGGAGGGTGCCTGGGGGTGGAGAAGGCGTTTGGACCGCCACCACTTAGGACAAGGGGCCTGGGCTTTGCTGGGCAAACGTCCATGGGATGGACATTTAATATACATTGTCTGGGTCCTTGTTATCAGAGGGAAATGCAAGTGGGGTTTTAGCCTCGAGATGGCCCTCTGCCCAGAAGCTGCTCCGTGAACACCTGCGAGCCACTCGCTAATCCGCCCAGGAACGTACCTCCGAAGCGCAGACACGTCTCCAGTGTAGGCCGCAAACAGGAGGTTTATCACGGACTTCACCTGGAAGACAAGAAAGGCAGCTTCACGGGGGAAGGCAGACAGACCCGGGCCTGGGGCTCCCGTGAGCGGGGGACACCTCAGCCAGCCTCGCAGTCACCCCAGCTGCATGCACGTCCACAAGGAGGCAGGCACGTGGTGCTCCTTTCCTGCTGCACCAGAGGATTCTGGGGGAACCCAACTCTGAACATAAGATGTGGGAGGAGGAGTGGGATGATACCTCCTGCACAAAGGGATGGACACCTGCAACCTGCGAGTGAGACACACGGCGGGGCCTCTGAAGCGTGTTCAGAGCTTCCTCACCGGTGTGCCGGGGCGGTGAGCCTACTGTGTGCTCACAGCACGCACGTCTCATCATTGCTGAGAACGAAGTCATGCCATACCAGCGGCGAAGCCCTGCCTGTCTCCGCCCTCACCATCACCATCACCACCGCTGCTCCTCGCAGACCTCCCGAGGCAGCCTCAGCACAGGCACTGGAGCCCGGGGCGAGGCTGTTTCCCGGGAAGGCCGCCTTCCACGTGAGCCCAGCAGCTGGGCCCCCAACACTGCTCTCCGGTGGCAGGGACCCTCCCCACACAGTGGGTCCTGCTACTGACAACACCCACCATCTGTCCTTACGATGAGGACAAGGCTGTCTTATCCTAAAGGCCACCGGGTTCCAGCAGCCTTCACGAAGCCGTGAGCCAGCCCCGCTTTTGAGAAGCTAAATTACTGAACGTACAAGATCTGTGAATACTTTGTCAATGCCCACTTTTATCTTACACTGGACTTACTGGTGGAAGAGAGAAGAAGTTTAAGTGGAGCCGTGGAAAGTAACCCAGCTGTCCAGAGACAAAGCCACAGCCCTGGGGACTCTGTTCAGAGATTTTAACCTGAGCCCGGCCAGTGTGGCTCAGTGGTTGGGCATGGACCTATGAACCAGGAGGTCAGGGCTTGATTCCTGGTCAGGGCACATGCCCGGGTTGCGGGCTTGACCCCCAGTGTGGGGCGTGCAGGAGGCAGCCAATCCATGATTCTCTCTCATCATGGGTGTTACTATCTCTCTTTCCCTTCCTCTCTGAAATCTATGAAATTATATTTAGTTATTCAATCTTTTTTAAAATTTTATTTTCTTGTTTAAAGTATTACACATAGTAGTACATATGTTTCCCTTTTTCCCCCCATTGACCTTCCCCTAGCTTCCCCTACCTCCGCCCCACCCCCTCCCCGTCACACGCCCTTGATTATTTAATTTTTTATTTAAAAACACAGCTCGCAGCAGGCTAGGGCTCTCCGCCTCCACTGCCTCCCCCAGCCCCCTTTTGCTCCAAATGCCAAGTCGTCCAGGCTGCTGCCCTTGGCAAGGAGCAGGGTGGCGGGTCCCTCCGATGGCTGAGAGAGAGGGTCTGCTTCCCTCAGAGGCAGAAGGAGCCCTCTAACAGACACAACCTCCCCACAGACCTGGAGGCCCCTGGGCTCTGACCCTCACAGCCCACTTCTGCCTCACTGACAAGCGGGCCCCACCTCCAGTGTGGTCAGGCCACTGCTCACCCCCTCGGTGCTCACCCCCTCGGGCTGCGCCCCTATCCACCTGGGGGCCTGCGACAGCCTCTGGCTACCGTCACGCTCGCATCATGACGTGTGGGTCAGAGGGGCTGCGGCCCAGGGGGTCCCACAGCCCGGGGCCGCCGGCCTGCCGGCCAGGTGTGCACAGGTGTGCGCTGTGACACTTGCACAAGATCACCCAGTGACACATTTCCCTGGCGAGGGAGGTGGCACATGGCTGTGTTCTGTTCGATTCTGCTGCCGCAGACAGCTTTCTATTTTTATTATTTTTAATATATTTGTTTATTTCAGAGAGGAAGGGAGAGGGAGAGAGATAGAAACCTCAGTGATGAGGGAGAATCATGGATCTGCTGCCTCCTGCATGTACCACACCACGGATGGAGCCCACAACCCGGGCCTGTGCCCTGCCTGGGAACAGAACCCTGACCCCGGTTCATGGGCCGATGCTCAAACATGAAGCCACACCACATACTAGCATCTTGTTAAAACATGCATCCTGGTGCTCCCGATGGCCCCCTCGCACCCTGACTAAAAGGGAACCCTCCCCTGTGGCTTTCAGGACGCCCACTGCTCTGCCCCATCCATCTCCTTCCGCCCAGACAGGCAGCTGTCCTGCAGGTCCCCGCATCCAGGGCTGCCCCTGCCGCTGGGTGCTGTCCCCCAGCGGTGAGGGCTCCCCGTCCCTCTGCCCGGTCTCTGAGCACTGTCTCTTCATCACCTTCCT